TTTGGTCTAATTTTTAAGTTCATAGATTTTCTTTAATTATCTCCAGTTAATTTTTAATTTAAGGTAGTGGATTTTTCAATTAAATTATTTTCAGTGTAAAATTCTTTCTCTTCCTCTGCCAAAAAATTGTATTAATTCATTTTGAACATATTTTCCTTTAGTTCTCAAGCATAAATATTATAGCTATAGTATACTTATTAAAATGCTTGTCTGCTAACTCCAGCATCTGGGACATTAGTTTTCTCCATTGATGTCCAATTTCCCTGGGGAATGGATCATGTTTTCCTGTATCTTCATTTCTGTAGCAGTGTTTTCCTGCATGCTTGTTTTAATTTTATTTTATTTTTTATTTTTTTCCTGGTGCTGAGCATTGAACCTAGGGTCCTGCACATGTAAGGCAAACACTCGGCTACTGAGCTACAATCCCAGCTATAGTAATTTTGAATTCTAAACTGAATGCTATCATTAATGTAGAGATCTTAGACTTAATTTTGTTGTCCCAAAGAGTTGTTTTCTTCCTTTCATTTTTTTTCTTTTAAGAGGTAATTAACTTGGACATACTCAAACTCTAAACTCTACTCCCTGTACTGTGTAACAACTGAAAACTCTGTGCAGTTCTTTTAGCCCAAGGCTGTATGGATTCTGCATATTTCAATCTGAGTGAAAATTATTCATAGAATTTGGTGTTTCCCTTCTCTGACTGTCTCTTCCTTGGCTTTTCTCCATAAACATCACCCACGGCCATTCATTCATTCTACATATGGACCACCTCCAATTTCCACCTACCTTGGTTGCTTTCTAGTACGTTCTGATACTGTTTTTAATATTTTCTGTAGGGGCTGGGGATTTAGCTCAGCGGCACAGCGCTGGCCTGGCAAGCGCAAGGTCATGAGTTCGATCCCCCGTACCGGAAAAAAAACAAAAAAAGTATTTTTTGTGGAGTTAGTAGCTGGCTTCTGTCAGAAGGCTGATCTTATAGAAGATTCTCCTCCACTAATTAAAGTGAAAGATGTATGATTTTACAGTAGTACCTTGGTTCATGAGCTTAATTCATCCCACTATTCCTGGGAAGATGGCTGCATTAATGTTTTTGTGGGGAAGACATCCATGGTTCACAAACAGAAGCATTTGGCAAAATTTTGTTTTTGTTTGCAAACTCTTCAGCAGGAGACCAACACAACCATGGCCATCTTTCCCACATGAACACGAACATGACCATCTTTTCCAGAATCGTAGAACGAATCATGTTGATGAACTGAGGTACCACTGTATATGTACTGTGATATCTTTGCAAGGTGTGACCTTTACAAAATGTGGTGAATGCAGCTGCCAAGTGTCATCCAGTGGAAAACATTATGGTGTGCCCTCATGCGCCTTATTCACCAGATCTGGGATGGTAGACTTCCCCTAAGTGAAAATGACTATTAAAAATAAACATTTTGAGTCATTTCAGGATATCAAGGCAACCACAACAGCACAACTGAACACACTCATAAAAGAAGACTTCAAAAGCTCGGGGTGGTGGTGCATGCCTGTAATCCCAGCACGCGGGAGGCAGGAGGATCGCCATGAGTCGATCCCACCTGGGCTACACAAGCAAGTTCAAGGCCAGCCAGCGCTGCATAGTGAGGCCCTTTCCCCCATCCTGAAAAAAAAAAAAAAAAAGAAGAGTTCCAGAATTACTTCTGAAAGTGATAAGAACAATGGGATCAGCGTATTCAAAGTTAGGAGGCATATTCTGAGGGGGATTAATATGTATGGTGGTGGTGGTGGTGTGCTTGTGTGTTTGTGTGTTTTTATGGCTATTTCTATAAGTTCCTTCTTACAAGGAGGATTTAAATAACCGTTTCTTCTCTTTTCCTATTCCCCTCTCCTAATAAGTAATGATAAAACTCATACTCTCTGCAGATACTGTCTTAAGCAATCTATATATCTTATCTCCTTTAATTATCACAGAAACCGTATGAAGTAGTGTCTGCTATTCTCATTTTCAGAGGGGGAAATGCAAGCAAAGTATTGCAATAACTTTGTCAGGATCCCTGTGGTTTTGTACCAGAGAGAACAAAGATCCCAGCCCTACCCATCCAACTCTGAAGTCTCTTTTTCAAAACAGTAATAGCTGCCATTTGAGAAGCATTTGCCATATGCTAAGCATTGGTAAGTGTCTTCCAAACATTATTTCAAATAGTGTGCCCTACAGGGCACAAATCCTTGCACTACTGGATCTGAGATCAAGAAGGAAGCCGTTGATGGATTCTTGTGGGTTGACCACAGCAAAACATGAAACCATAAAGGGATTCTGTAGTATTCTCAATTCTAGAGACAAGTTTTTTTCTTCTAGTACTGACTGATAAGGTTGACCAAGTAATGATAAGACAGTGAGAGCTCCTCCCATCCATTCCCAATTCTTCAGGACAAGAAAGATCTCAGTTGACCAACCCCATATCTATACTTTTGGTAGAAGCTAGGATTTGAAATAGAGACGTGTGTCGAGTAAGACAGGAGCGGGTAAGTACTGTGAGCTACGTGTAAGTACTGTGTAAGTAAGTAGTGTGACTACATGAGCAGCAAAAACTAGGCTAAATAAAACCAAGACTCAAGTCCTGTTCACACTTTATATCAGCTCAGTGACTTTGGACGTGTTCTAGAATATCTTAGAATCAGTTTCTTCATATATAAATCTTGACTTACCATGTGTATCACTGCAGAAGCCAAAAGGCTGAGGTCCATCCTTCTTTCTTCTTTCTTTATTCCCTATCAAAACACTAGCAAATCTTCCTAACAGTATCTCAAGAGCCCATTATTCTCTATTTGCTTACTCCTCTCATTCTCCAGAGCCATCACTCTTGTTTGAGCCTTCGCTGTTGCTTGCTGACCCTATCGCAGTAGCTTCCTAAGGAACATCCCCTCATCTATTCTCACCCTTTTACAACCCTGAGCTTTCTAAAATGGAAATCTAACTCTTCCTTATCCTAATGTTTTACTTTCCTATATTATTTTAGCTCAAAATTAAACAACCAAGGAAATTCATTTCTTGCCTCTTTCCTCTTAAATCTCAGAACCTCCTGTTGAACTTAGGGTAGAATCCAGTCCATTATTGTGGCTGTAAAGATCCTTCCTGGCATGTTTTCTGCCTGTGTTTTGTTTTATTTATTTATTTATTTATTTATTTATTTATTTATTTATTCATTCAGTTTGAGAGAGAATCTCACTATATTGTTAAATTGCCCAGGCTGGGGTTAAAGCTGAGATACTCCTGCCTCAACCTCCCAGAGAGCTACAATACAGCATGGAAACCTGGGCCCTTTGCATTTACTACCTTCTTAATCCTATAACAGCCCTATATTACATCCACTACCCTATTATCCTTTTCCACTTTCTTCTCATCTACTTAGTAAGACTGTGTGATTACTGTGACCTGCGGAAGTCTGAGGGAGGAAAGAAGCCAGCTTTGAGAACCAACTTGCCCTCTATCATGGGTATGCAAAGACTTTGGGAGCAGTAATCTCAGTCATGTGTGTTCAAAGCCATATTCACAGCCAGAAGATGCCCATTAAGTGTCTATTAAGTAAATGAGTGAACAATAGGTTTGTTATAGGATTAAGAAGGGTAGTGAATATAAAGGGTCCAGGTTGCCATGCCTGTAATTCCAGCCCTCTGGGAGGTTGAGGCAGGAGGTCGGCAAGTTCAAGCCCAGCCTGGGCCACTTCAAAACTTAGTGAGACCCTGTCTCAAAATAAGTAAACAAACAAATAGGCCTGGGTATGTAGCTCAGTGCAAAGGCCCTAGGTTCAATCCCCTCAGTACCTACACTCAAAAAAAAAAAAAAAAATAGGAGATTCGACTATATAAAGTCACCCAGAGAAATAAGTTGATTAAAAGTCTCTGCCAGTTTGCAATGCCCTTATCTCCACACATGGTTTCCAGCAGCATTAAATGAGAAGAAAAGAGACTTGAGTATTTAATATCTTCCTCTGAAAGCCCTGTCCCTTCCACCTGGAGTTCATTGCCCAGAACTGGGGCTCAGTGACCTGGGGTGACTTCAGGAGAGTCTGTGTGTGATAGAAGAGCATGCACAGAATCTTCAGGGAGTTCTTTTGTCTCTATTGTCCACTGTTTATTACTGATAAGAGAACTGAGGCACAGAGGGACAGAAAACCTGCCTAATGTCTCAGAGCTGGTAACTACTAAAAGCAAGACTCAAACCCAGGCTGCTTGGCCCCGAGGGACTGCCCCCTTTACCATACGCCGGTGTTACAGTTCTGCTGGGGACGCCTGCTGAGATGCAGAATGTATGTTCTGGGCTCTTCCTCTTGCCTGCATTCTCTTCTCAAAAGTGACCACCTTTCTGCTTCAGTGACAGGATTTTTGTACTTTGATTCTTTGCAAGTTTAATGTGCAGCTTACTGTGGTCGTTCACCTTTCCCTCCCTTCTCACCCATTCTTCTCCCTAAAAGCCAAACCCAGATGAAATGTTCACCCCAAATGAATCAGCCAGGAAGCACAAGACCACTCCCAAGCCTGACTTACCCCTCAACCCTGCCTCCAACAATCTTTGTGGTGACTTTAAGCAGAGGTAGTTTTCTCCCAGGTTCAAAGGGAGTTGGGAGGGTAAGTATGCTGGGAAAGCTAGACGAGGATCCCGGAAGTTCCCCATTCTCTAATGACCCCCCCCCCCACAACTGGCTCCAGCAGACAAGTGTAGTATAGGCCACCTCCTGTGACAACCAGGTTAACAGCACAAAATCGATAGCAAATCTGGGTCCAAATCTGGGGGCCAGGCACTCGACAGACTGGGTGACATATAATCCTCTCAGTGGAGAGTGTGTGAAGGTCTTCACTGGCTGTTGTCCTTTCATGCCTTGAGTCATCCCACACAAATGGAGGTGATTTCATGTAAACTGTTTTTCTGATTATCATTGGAGGCGTTGTGATTGCTTTCTGCCCTGTTTTACCAAGCATCTCCTCCCCCTGCTGAATCATCCAATTCCAGACACGTTCTGTGCTCAAGGTTCAGCCAGGAGCCACGTTCTGCCCTGCACACGCATTCCCTGGAACGACTTGAGCACAGAGAACAGGACCACAAAGCCTGCCTGGACAAAGCCCCGCTGCATCTTGAATAGCACCAGGTGAGAGAGGCAAATGGCAGCTTCTTTTGGAGGGGGAGGCTTATGCACAGACCACGGAAGCCCAAAACTTAAAAGCCCAATGTCAAATTATGAAGTTCTGGCAATTCCACTTCCGTGGTGACTATGGACAAGTCACTTAACATCTCTGACACCTCATGGCGACAGTAAGTAAGAGGAATGCAGGAGAATGTGCATGTGCTATGGGTCTCCCAGGCTCTTAGAGGTGACTGACTTACAGTGAGGCACCTCTGTGTGGAAAGAGTGCAGAGCCAGGAAGGAGAAGATTGGTAGAAACTTCACTCTGCAGAAGTTGGTTCTGTTTCTGCAAAGTAAATGCCTTTCATAAATTTTTTTTAAACAATCTAACCAGGAGGGAACTGGCTTCACAGCTATAGAGAACTGAAGGGTACCTCAGTGTGTACTGATCCCGTACTGTGCAGCAGGCTGCATGCTGGCAACGGGATGTATGTAGATTATCTCACTAACCCTCATAAGAAGTCGGAGAGCAGGTTATTAATGTGCCCTCAACGCTAAAGACATGGACAGCATCCAAATCATCAAACCAAACTTAAACTCTCACTTTATCCCCTAAAGCCCACTAAGTACGCTGCCTCATTAAATAGCTTTTTGAGTCCAGAAACTTGTGATGTAAGTTGGTTGTAGAAAGTGTTCAAGATACTGTGTACCTGAACATATAATCCTGAGCCAAGCCACCTCCCAAAGTCACACTGCCATGTTGATTTCTGAAAGCACTTTTAAGTACTTCAGTGCCAGGCGTGGTGGCACATGCCTGTAATCCCAGCACTCGGGAGGCTGAGGCAGGAGGATCACTGAGAGTTCAAGACCAGCCTGGGCTACAAAGTGAGTTCAAGGCCAGCATAAACTGCATAGCAAGACCCTGTCTCAAAAAGACAGTAAATAAATAAACGAATAAATAAAGTACTTCAAAAGATTGTTCTTTAAAACTGTATCATAGGACACCATTAGGCCACACATCCCAAGAGGGTAGAAACTCTTTCAATCTGACTGATCTCTGATAGTGTCTAAAATCATACATGGCACATTGTAATAAACATCTTGGAAGTGAACAATATATTTTTCTATAGTTCAGGTATTCTGTGGGACACTGGTTTTTCTCTCCCTGCTTTCCTAAATTGTGACAGAAGGGAAGACTCTAACAATTTTTTTGTTGTTGTTTTGTTTTGTTTTTCTCTGGTACCGGGAACCGAACTCACGACCTTGTGCTTGCCAGGCAGGCGCTTTGCCACTGAGCTAAATCTCCAGCCCCAACTCTAACAATTTATTGAGTGCTTACTGTATGTCAAAAACTGTGAGGAATGAATAGGGATACAGTACAGATGTAGTTATTGATACATAGAAATCAATGGTATTATAGGTATACAGTGATATATAGATGCACAGTGATATATATAAGTGGAGTTATACACATTAATATAATTATAGGTATAGCTATAAATATGTGTACATATAGAGGTAGATATATGCCATGTGATCAAAAATATGGTGAATGCTTACTTTTTTAAAAAAATTTCTTAGCCAAGAGTGGTGGTACATGCCTGTAAACCCAGCACTCGGGAGGCTGAGGTAGGAGGGTCACTGAGAGTTCAAAACCAGCCTGGGCTACAAACTGAGCTCAAGGCCAGCCTGAACTGCATAGCGAGACCTTGTCTCAAAAAGAGAACAACAAAAAAACTCTTACTGTAAAAAATATAGTGCCAGTAGCACCCCTCATATACTTCCCCAACACCTTAAACATACTTATTCCATCATTCTTGCTACTTTCTGAACCAGTTACAGAAATCCTCTTTCATGAGTGTCATTAGTTGTGCTGGGGGAAAGTGTTCCTAATGCTTTGTGTTCCTAATGCTTTCAAAATATTTACTTTTCATGGTCAGTTTGATTTTGGGGACGAGCCAGAAGTTATGCAGTGCCAGATCCAGTGAATAAGGTGGATGAGGAGATGCTGCAATGCTTTTACAAGCCTGCCTTTCCGGTGGACAGCACTGAGCAGCAGCATTCACTGTAATGTGGACCTCACCTTATAAAGACACCTAGGAAAGAGAACTTCCAGAAATATTTCTGAAATTGGCAAGAAAAGTGGGATAAGTATTTGAATTGAGGGGGAGTACATTGAGAGAGATTAATGTCAATACATCTCTTACTGTAAATTTTTTTTAATTTCAGCATTCACCATATATTTTGGTCACCCCTTGTATAGGTATCTCTGACTTTTAGTCTTCTAAACCTTGTGATATCAGGTTCCTATGTAACTGCATATGAGTGTAAATCTGGACCCTGTGGTGTCTGTTTAGGAATCTATCCCCACTTCCTGTCTTAGACCCTGGGCCGGAAGTTAAAGAGCTGTTTCTTTTGGCCAAACTTAACTACATGGGAAGAGTTTCACAGATGGTGTTAACAATTAATTACTCATTTTCCTAGAGTAACTACTCGTGTTGCGCTGGTGCTAAATGTGACATGCAGGAGGCAGCTCTTTCATCGCCTCAGCCCTAGGTGTTGCCAATTTTCCAGTTTTTTAGAGAGAGTTTAAATAAATTGCCTGAAATGATAAGGTGCTGAGGGTCTGGGATCTCAACCTGTGCTGTTTGGTCCTAAGGCCACACTCTCCCCTACCACATCCTCTCAAATGATGAAGATTAAATTAGAACTGCAAACACATTTTTAAGATGATGCCAAAAGCAAGTCTTCCTTATTTGATCAGCTATCAAATATCAAGAACTATTTGTATTAGCTCACTAGAACAACCATGGCAAATTACCACAGACTGAGTGACTTAGCAAAAATGTGTTTTCTCAGAGTTCTGAAGGCAAGAGGTCCAAGATCAAGGTGAAAATTTGGAAGCCTTTCTTCTCAACTTGTAGATGGCTGTCTCCATGCTCCCACGGCATTATCCCTCTATGTGCATCTGTGTTCCTAATCTCTTAGAAGGAAACCAGTCACATCTGTAGTGATCTCATTCTTAACATAATTCCCTTCTCTAAACATAGTCACATTCTGAATTTTAGGAGATTAGGACTCCAACAGATACACTGTGGGAGACACAATGTAACCCACAATAAAGACCTAACAAATTTTGTCATTAGATCTCTCCCTTCCGTTTTGGTCTTTAGCCACTTATTAAGGGCTGTTTGCACTGCCCTTGGGGAAAAGTGAATTTTAAATCATCTGTATAGAAAAATAGCAGCTGAGTCCAGAATTCTCATTCTAAATCAGCTCACACCCAGGCAAGGAGGCATGTATTGCTAAAACTAGTAGACGGGGTAGTCTTACAACCTTGGAGAAACCCTTGTCCTTTGTGAGGTGCCCACCTACATCAGGAATGTTAAGCTCTTATGTCAATAGTGGCTGGACAGCTACACTAAGTGGAAAAGTGAGCAGGTGTGAGGAAATAGGGAGTGGTGGGAACCGTGTAAGTTTGGAGAAAAAGCCATTTAAATGAAACAGACAATTCTCAGCTCCCGTTGGTATCGGTAAAAAAGGGCCAGTATCACTGGCCATTACAGGTTTAACTCATTGGTTCCATGAATCTATTGTCAAAAAGTAGCATGTTATTGCTGACACTGAAGGGGGTTCTTAACTGTTCATGGTAATAAAGTACTCCAATCTCAAATCTGAAGCGCCTGCCTGGCAAGCGCAAGGTCGTGAGTTCGGTTCCCGGTACCGGAGAAAAACCAAAAAAAACAAACAAAAAAAAAACAATCTCAAATCTGTTTTTCAAGTGGCTCTCTTCTGCCAACATTTTCATGGATAGATCAAAGCATCACCTTCCACCGCATAAGTGTAGAAAATTACTGCCTGTCAATTAAAAATGAAATGAATTTTAAAGTGACAATTAACAAGCAGTTAAAAAAAAAAAAACAAAAAAAAAACAAGCAGTGCTCTATGAAGAACCTGTGCTTACGTCCTGTAGTATACTTACTTCTACAATAAAATTAGAAAGCTGTAAATCTGAAGAAGCCAACAGTCTAATTATTGCCATCAGTGAAGACAGTTCAGTCCAGGCTGTAAAATCTAAAGTTAACTTCCAAATATCTAATCTTTCAAATATAGGTTTTTTGGTTTTGTTTTTTTTTTTTTTTTTTTTTTTGGCTTTTCTCCGGTACCAGGAACTGAACTCACGACCTTGTGCTTGCCAGGCAGGCGCTTTGCCGCTGAGCTAAATCCCCAGCCCCTAGAATATAGGTTTTTAAAGCAACAACAACAAAAACATTCTTATGGAAGGTAGGTACGTTGTAGTTTAAGCCAATTTCAAAATCCAAATCCAAGGAGGCCCCTAATAAATGAGAGTTCTGCTCCCTTGTTGGAAACACTTTTCAGGCTCTGGAAGGGCAAAGTGGTTTTATTCTATGTATTTACTCTTTCTGATGAATTAGGAATCACTGCCCAGACCACTATCCTAGGGAATATCTTGAGACTACATCCCAGTCCAGTAAGGAAGGTGCTGGCACACTAGCAGTGTCTGCCCCGAGGATGGTGGTGTATGGGAATACACTGAGTCCCAAGTGGCAAAAACCCAAACTCAGGCAAAGAAGAAATTGTTGGTTCTCAGAGTCCAGGGAAGAATGTTAACAGGAGAGGAGCAGGAAGCCAGAGGGGTTTCCGAACCAACATCAACCAGTGACTCAAATGTCTTCAGGGTTGTGGCTACCTTTCTTCTCCACACCTCTGTACACCAGCTTCTTTCTTCCCACAGAATAGGAAACTTAGCCACAGACAGCTGCCCCAGGGTGTGTTGTATGGTTTCCCCTAGAGAGAAACAGATTTATCTACCCTTCAGCACCAATTATACACAAGAGCAATTTAAAGGCCTGTATTGGCCAGGCTTAGGTTAAAAAATCACAGAACTGCTCAACCCTGAGCCTACCAACTTGAACCAGAGAACCTAATCTGTGGGAACCACAAGAGAGGGTTTGGTGGAAAGAGAAGTCTCCAGAGAAAGAAAAGCTGGGATATAGAATCTGCAAAATGGTCATTTTCTCTACAGGAGAGATCACCATGTGGCTGCTGTCCTGGGCTTAAACCTGAAAAGACCCCAGGAATGTATATTAACACATGTAGTAGCTACAGCTTCTCCCTGGCAGGTTGTGCCTTGTAGTTGATTCCTCAATTAGGAAGCTAAATGTTGGGGCTGGGGATTTAGCTCAGTGGCAAAAGCGCCTGCTTGGCAAGCGCAAGGTCGTGAGTTCGGTTCCTGGTACCGGAGAAAAACCAAAAACCAAAAACCAAAAAAAAAAAAAAAAAAAAAAAAAGGAAGCTAAATGTCATCTAAGCCCTGTCTTTCAGACTCTGGTAAACTGAAATCAAGCAATAACTTTGGCATTGCCCCAGGAACATGTGTCACTATTTGTAAAAACTTCCTGCTGCACCACCAGATTATAAACCTTTTCTCTCCCGGACAGGAAAAGACCTGAGAATTCTGTGTCCAGTTGCCAAGGGCTCTTCCCACTATGCAGTGGCTTGTGAGGTTCCGGGTCCTCTGGGGCATCCACAAATCTTTCCACGCCTTCCACCCTGCCCCTTCCCAGTTGCGCTGCCAGTCTTTCTCAGGGGTTGGAGCTCCAAAATGGAATGACCACGATGTACCGAAGGAATTTAACTTTGCAAGTGATGTGTTGGACTACTGGGCTCAAATGGAGAAGGTGAGAGTGCACCGTGGTGGGAGGTGGGGAGAGGCTGGCCTCAGCCGGCCTTACCTTGCTCTTACTGGGCTAACAGTCCCAGAATCAAGGACGGTCTCTGCCTCACAGAAATGTGATAGGGGAAGGTTATATAAGATATAATTAAAACATATAGCGAATGTCTACTTCTTTAACTTATAGTAAAAGACGCAGTGGCATAAGTCCACCTCGAGACACTCCCCTTCACTTTGAACACACTGACCCCATCTTTCTTGCCACATTCTTTTGTGGTTGTTGTTTAGTTTGGGGGTTTGTTGTTGATATTGTTGATGTTGTGGTTGATGTTGCTGTTGTTGATGTTATTATTGCTGTGCTATTGTTTTGTGGGGATTTTTTGTGTTGGTTTGGGTTTTTGGATTTAGGGGAGGATTGTTGTTTGGTTGGTGTTTTATTTTTGAGACAAGAGTATAGCTGAACTCACTATGCAGTCCAGGCTGACCTCAAGCTCAGGGGGACCCTCCTGCCTCAGCCTCCCAACTGCTGTTTGCAGGCATGCACCACCACACCTGACTCTGTTCTTGTTTCTTTCTGAGGCAGTTCTGGAAGTCTCTTTCATGAGTGTCTTCAGTTGCCCTGTTATAGCTGCCTCAGAGTGCTGAATGGATTCAAAATATTGACCTTTCAGAATCATTTTGACTTTGGCAAAGAGCCAGAAGTTGCAGGTTGCCAGATGCAGGGAATGAAGTAGATGAGGACACACTATCATGTTTTTATTTGATAGAAACTGCCATAAATCATTGATCAACAAGGGATGATCAAAACATAAGATGAATGCTTAAATTTTTAAAATGTATTATAATAAAAGACATCAAAGTACTCAAAATATTCCCCTTCACTTCAGGCACATATATCCCATCATTACTGTTAAAGTGTCTTTTAGTGCAATGAAGGCTTTTTTCCTTCAATCAGATTTTATTGGTACATTTTAGGTACACATAATGATCACATTCATCACAGAGAATTTATACCTGTACGTGACATAACTTGATTCTTTTTTTCCCATTCCCGTACCCTCCCTTCAACCCCTCCTCCCCTCTCCATTTACAAAAGTTTTGTTTCCATTTTTTCCTTCTTTTCTCATTTTTTTTACTTTTCCCTTCTTTCCTTCCCCCTTCCTTGTTCCCTCCCTGGTTGAACATTTTCTTCCTATCTCATAACACCTAACATACATTTTAATAAGGTTTATTTCAATTTAAAGAGTCACAGTATTTTCGTATTTCAGGGTTCATTTCCCAGCCTACTTACTTCACATCTCTGGGCATCCTTGCTTTCATCTTTGAAATGTGGATAAATTCATTTTCAAAAATGATGGAAATGATATATCTGATATCCAGTCAGTGCTCCATAGTTGTGACTGAATGCAAAGTTTTAATCCCAAAGTCAGCAAGTTCATGTTAGCCTGAATTTTCACCTTCAATGAAAGGGACAGTGAATCTTACAAGAATTTATCTATCAAACTTGTAATTTAACTTTTACATCTGGCCAGAGAAGGGAATAGACTGCTTTCGTGTGTACCAGAACATCGGACACAGTGTTATCCAGCTACCAAACTCACCAGCACTCTGCATTCAGAGAGGACTCGCATGAGATGGAGTTGGAGGCTTGCTACCATTTTGAAGATTCCCACGAACATGTCTTCTACGATACCTTCCTACCTAACCTCTTCTTTTTCCTTCCTCTGAATTTTCATAATAACCCCAAGAAAAGTAAAGCCCTCAGCTATGGAAGACAATTTTTATGTGTCATATCAATCACTTGGCATTTAATCCTTTGGTTGGATGGGCACTGTTATTGTCCCTATTTTCCAGTTGAGGAAACTGAAAGAAGAGGGTTTTAAAAACCTGCTGAAATCGCCTATCTAGCCAGTGGAGGGGGAGGATTTGGATGCAGGCTAATTGAGCCAGAATCCATTATTTGACTTCGCCTCACAGCTGATGAAGCTGAAACATTTATGTCTTGAAAGCATAAAATGACTTTCCTCATTGCCCAGGTTAGAAATCCTTTTGCTGTGTGAGTCGGGGTGGAGAAAAACGAAGCTGAGATGAGGAGATGAAGGTATTGCCTTTTCCCTGGTTGTCTCATAAAGTTCTGGTGAGCGAGGTCAAGCACCAACTCACAGACTTAACTACAATGTAAATATTCCCCCACGATGCCAGATTCATTGTCAGTTTTCCTGTGTCTCCCAGTCTCCCCACTCCCAGCACCCATAATTCATCAGTATTAATCCTGACAGTATTGCTGATCTGTCCACTTCAGCTTTTCCAATTTCCTTGACCATGGTCAGTAAGTTAAACTCCCAAATGAGCAAGCACCACACAGACACTCACCCTGCAACCCCCTCCACCACATTACCCAAACTTTTAACACTTATTTTGACTTCAACATATTTAACTTGTAAAGTATAAGGTAGAAGTTCAACATTTATGTGAAGTAAAATTTATCTTAGTCTTGGCAAAAATTTACTAGAAAACAAACAACAAAATGTCATTTGTCGGCCAGGCATGGTAGCCCACACCTGTAATCCCAGTACTCAGGAGGCTGAGGCAGGAAGAACACTGTGAGTTCAAGACAAGCCTGGCTACATAGTGAGTTCAAGGCCAGCCTGAACTACACAGTGAGGCCCTGTCTCAAAAAAAAAAAAAAAAAAAACTCACTTGTAGTCTAGACAACATAGCTTATAGGTAGAAAATGGTTATTAATCCAGGCCACCAATTTATAACCCTTGGTTGCTCTTGGGAATGAAACCCTGTGGTACTATGGTATGAATTCCTGGGGTAGTGCATTCAACTTCAATTGATTCCTAGAACAGCCCTCAATTTATTCATGAGAGGTCATATGCATATCAGCATTTATTCATTCTGTCTCTTACAGACTTCATTCATTCAACTAAAACTTCATGGATAATACTATCTGCCAATCATTATTCTAAATAATGGTTATAGAAAAGTAAACAAGACAAACAACTCTCACTTTTCTTTGTCATTTTGCTGTTTTCTTGATGTATTATAGCTTTTTTGCTCATTTCTTCTCTTGCTGCCTTCCTCTGTGTTCAGTTGATTTTTTGGCAGTGATATATTTTGATTTCCTTTTGTGTGTATTCTACAGATATTTTCTTTGTATTTCCATGTGGTTTATATGTAACATCCTGTAGTTAAAACAATCTACTTTTAAGTGACAATAACTTAACTTCAAATATGTATAAAACTCTTTTACCTTCTTACATTTCTGTCCCACCTAACATCCACTTTATGTTATTGATGTCACAAATTATATCTTTTAGTATTGTGTACTCATTAACCTAAATTTATAATTACTTTTATGCTTCTGCTTTTAAATACTATAAAAGAGGAGGTATTGCAAGATAAGTTATAATAATACTGCTTTTTATATGTAATGGTACATGTAATTTGTATATGTAATTACCTTTACACGAGAAATTTTTGTTTTCAGATTTCAGTTACTTTTCATCCCTTTAGTTCAGCTTAAATACTCCCTGTAATATTTCTTATGGGATAAGTCTAGTGATGGTGAGCTCCCACACTTTCTTTAGAATCTGTGAATATCCTAATTTATCCTTCACATTTGAAGAACAATCTTGGGTAAAAATTTGGGTTGAGTTTTTGTTGTCCTTGTTCTTTTAGCACTTCAAATATATTATCCCACTGCCTTCTGATGTGTAAGGTTTCTGAAGAGAAATTCGCTGATAATCATCTTGAGGGCCTCTTCTACACAATGAACTGTTTTTCTTTTGTGCTTTCAAAATTACCTCTTTGGCTTTCACATTTTGATTATACTCTGCCTTCTTCGAATTTTTTTGGCATTAGTCTATTTAAAGTTGATGAGCCTCCTGTGTTTGCATATCCATATCTTTCCTCAAATTTGAGAAGTTTGGGGCATTATTTCTTTCTCAGGTACCTCCTTGGTCGGCTTGATAGTGCTTCCCCTTGGGGGAATCTGGGGATTCATTCTACTCCCTTGAGTAGACTATGTTTCCCATAAGTCCCTTAGGCTCTGCCCATTTTTCTTCACTCTTTCTTCATTTTGCTCCTCAGATTCAACAATTTCAAATGGCCTGTCTTCAACTTTACTCATTCTTTCTTCTACCTGTTTGACTAGACTGTAGGGTAAATCTTCAATTCAGCTACTATACTTTTGGCTCCAGAATTCTATTTAGTTTTTTCTCATATAGTTTCTATCCCTCTGTCACGATTATCATTTTGCTCATCACCGTTTTCCTGGTTTTCTTTAGGTCTTTATGTGTCCCTTTAGGTCCTACAGAATACTTCAAACCTGTGCTCTAGAATCTGTAAATGAAGCCTGTATTTCTTTAGGGCCAGTTTCTGGGGATTCATTCTACTCCCTTGAGTAGACTATGTTTCCTGGTTCCTTTGCATACCTTGTGATATTTGGATGAAAGCTGAGCATTTGAAACAGCCGTATGTCTCAGTCTTGCAGACAGGGTCCACACAGAGATAGCCGTTCACCAGTCTGCCCAGTGAGAAGAATCAAGGTCATCCCAGGTCTGCTCCAGCATTTTCCTTCCCTGGACCAAGTCATGTGCTCCTCCCCAGTCACTGTCCCACTTACGTGCCTGCTTTGACATGTCTTAATTTCCCTCATAGCCTCATCTTTGCTTCTTTTCATGGTCTCAGTCTTTACACTGTGTCCTCTGCCCCTCATGTCTTGTACCTAGGTGGCCACAAGTCTGCAGTTCTTACCCACCATGGCACCTGCTGTCGCTTTCAGAGGCCTCCATCCTGATTTGCAAGCTCTGCTGCTATTCCCACCTGACCTCCAAATCAGGCAAAACAGAAACCACCTCCTCAGGCAGCCCCTCAACAAACTAGAACATTGCAAACAAGTTCCACTTTCTCCCTTCCATCCCAAGAGAGGAGGCAGCAATGGGATGGCTTCCCCTTGACTGCCCAAGGAGCAGTAGGGGCAACAGCAAGCAAGAACACTGTAAACTTTGCTGTGTTTTGATTTTGACCTTCTCTTGTGGGCATTTAACTGCTGCAGATCTTTGATTGGTTTCTAAATCTCCCAAAAAGCTGTTTTAGTCACGCTGTTCCTTACTTGATGTTTCTATGAGGAAACAAGGGCCTGGAGCTTCCCACTCTACTATCTTGCTGTCCTAACCTTTACAAGTATCTTCATTTTTTTTAATTCCCAAAATATTTAACAATAAGTCACCCCCTTTTAGAAGAATCAAGTTATATCATGTACAGGTACAAATTTCCCCATGATGAATGTGGTCATTATGTATATCTAAACTGTACCAATAAAATGAATTTGTAAAAGATGATTAGAAATGTTTTAAAAATTAGCCTCATTCAGTTTATTTTATTGTGATAATAATAATAATATTTAGTGGGCACCTACTTTGTACCAGGCACTGTTACACGTATCTTATTCAAGAAGTAATTCATTTAAATTCTACAACTTTCTTGGCAATAGTGTTGTCCCCATCTAACAGATGAGAAAACTGGGATACAGAGAGGAGACTTGCCATCCACATGGGGATAAGACAGACATATGGAGAAATAGATGCTTAAATCTTCAATAGTAGACATGAAGGCTGCTCATGGTCTTATGTGGCTTGTGTCGTAGGTGGCTACATAGGTGAGAAGTTGTCTGAGTCCAACACAACCCCCCACCTTCCTTTGCCCCTAGAAATATTTTAAATGAGATCTCAGTCCCTAGGTTATGGAATGTGACTATGGCAGTGGATTGTCCAAAGAAGTAGCCTTTTCCTCTGAAGCAGGAAGTAACACATGGTGTATGAACTTGACCTTCACTAGGAAGGCAAGAGAGGTCCAGAACCGGCTCTGTGGTGGATAAATACCCAAGGAGATGAGATGAAGTGGAACTTCAGAGAGATGAGAGACCTCAGCTGTCGCGTGGCCAACGTCCTCACGCAAACCTGTGGCCTACAGCGGGGGGATCATCTGACCCTGATTCTGCCTCGAGTGCCTGAATGGTGGCTGGTGGCCATGGGCTGCATTCGAACAGGTCAGTGACTTGGGGACCTTGGTGAGCCTCAGGCTGACTTGGAGTCTGTCTGGGGACATTAGGTGCTGTGTACCCAGCCTTGCACAACAGCTCCGAGATTCCAGCCTCGTCTCCCAACCTGGGACCACAGAGCCAGGTTCTCAGAGAGTAACATCTCTCTTGCCGCACTGTCTCTCTTCTTCAAGTCTGTCTCTTTCTCACATTGCCTTCCTCGTACTCTTACATTCACATACTCTCAAGTCACACTCAGTGTACTCTCTCTCCGCCTCTCTCTCTGTCCCTCTCTCTCTCCTCCTCATCTTTCTATCACACACACAGAAAACACTTTCTCTTGCTCAATCTTATTCTCATTTTTAAAAAATTCAATACCTAACATTTTTCCCTATTTGAGTGCACGCTCCCTCGTCTCCCTCTGCCTCTACAGTTTTCTCTCACACTGAATCATTTAAGAGTCAGATGTGGACATTGTGACAGCCACAAATACCAAATAAATGCCAATAAATGCAGACACATGTCTTCTAAAACCTAAGATTTCTCTCCACATAATCACATAATCATTCAAAAAGACTAACCTTGAGGCTGGGGATTTAGCTCAGTGGCAAAGCGCCTGCCTGGCAAGCGCAAGGTCGTGAGTTCAGTTCCTGGTACCAGAGAAAAACCAAAATCAAAAAAAAAAAAAAAAGACTAACCTTGATACGATATGGTTTCCTGATGTCCATCCCCAATAACAGTCCCTCTACTGACCCAATAATACCTCTGAAGCCAGTGTTTTGCTTTAAATCCAATTGAGAATCACACTTCGTATTTAATTGTTACGTCTCCTCCATCTCCTTTAATCTAGAATATTTGCTACTCTTTTCTGCATGGTAATAACATTTTGAAAGTGTGTGGGCCAGATGTTCTGCACAGTGCTCCTCAAATTGTTTAAGTACAAGGCTTCCTGACTGCATTTAGGTTAAGGGCTTTGGGCAGTATCACAGCAAGGCAGTGTTGTGTGCTCCCCACTGTGGGACACTGGCCTGGGTGTGGACTGAGTCTGTCCCATCCTTGGGGATAACTGTTTCATCGTTTCTGTAAGGTCATAGTCATTCGATTTCTCCCTATGAGCAATCCGACAAAATTATGTGAACTGCGCTCTTCCCCAGCAGGTGTGCACACTGTGGTTTGAGTATCCATTGATAAATTTTTGCTGCATTGACTATTACTATGATGATTTTATATGGGAATTTTCTATTTTATCATACCCTTGACACTACTCAGAACCATTCTGTGGACACCTCCTTTCCTCTCATAATTACCTATACAGGTTTAGCCATATAGTTTAGAATCGGCGTGGGACTCCTGGCTTCTCTTTCTGGACCACCTCTCTCATCCTATCACGCATCCTCCGACAGTACTGTCGTGCTCACCTCCTCTCTTTTATTCTCTAACAGATTAAAATAATTGATTAATTTGACAAGATCATCTGCAAGAACTGACAGCAAGGCCAGAGGGAGGATAGAGAAAAAAGCCATATCACGTGCAAAGCAAAGAGATGGCCTGTGTAGGCCTAGGCTGACCCTCTGAGAAAAGCAGGACTAGAAGCGAAGGAAGGGCATTCCAAGTATAACTTACACGAAGGCTGAGTCAGGTGTAGCCCATGTGACAGACAGCCATTTTGAAATATAGGATAGAGTTGAGAGAAAGAAAAAGAAAGACTGGGCCGCAACTTCATTGTCAGGGCGAAGAACATGTTTTCCTGGAGAGAGGGCACTGTTGTGAGTGCGGAGAAGAAATCTGGAAAGGAAAATGTCGGTGCTTTATGGCACTTGGGCGGCCGCACAGGCCACTTGGTGGAGGGATGAGACTCAGAAGAGGTAGCTAAAGGCTTAAACTCACTGTGGCTGACCCAGATTGAAGAGAACGTGGGAGAGTTCAAGGGTGCAGCGGTTACACCTGGAATAAGATGAAGTGAGGAGGTTCATCAGAAGGCTGAGGAAGAGAGAAGGGAGAGAAGAAAGATGGAGGGCTGCTCCGGGAATGCTGATATCCCGGATGTCAGGAATACTCTCCAACTCACAGCCGTATTCCCAGCTCCCGTGGAAACTTGTGTGCAGCACTTTGCATCTTTTAGCTGGAAGAGAAAAGGCTTTAGGGTGGGACTTCTAAACTTCCATGTGCATAGGAATAACATAGGAATCATGTACAAATGCAAGTTTGGTTGGGAGGTTTGGCCCAGGGCGAGAATTCTGCTTGCCAGGTGCTGCTGGTGTGTCAGATCTGTGGACCACACTTTCTGCAGCAGATGTTAGAGCATTTCTCACCACACAGGCTCAGCCTGAAGCCCATGAGTATAGAAGACACTGCAACTGCTGTTCCTTTCTCATCCCCAGGGATTGTCTTCATGCCTGGGACCACGCAGTTGAAGCCCAAGGACATTCTCTACAGACTACAAATGTCCAACTCTAAGGCCATCGTGACCACAGATACTCTTGCCCCAGAGGTGGACTCTGTGGCCTCAGAGTGTCCTACTCTGAAAACCAAGCTCCTGGTCTCTGAGAACAGCCTTAATGGGTGGTTGGACCTCCGATCGCTGATTAAGTGAGTTTCTGGTCTGATGAATATGGTTTCTCAATAGGGAATGGTGGGAGATTTTTCACTCCCAAGTGCTAGGAGGCAAGCAGCCAGTGGTAGGAAACTCAGCACATTAGATGACAGAAATTTTCTCTTCCCCGCTATGTCACTGGTTTGCTGTGTGACCCTGGGTTTGTTCCTTCCCCTCTCTGAGTCTTGTTATCTGTAAAATAAACAGTTCTATCAGTAAAATATACTCACCCCATAGACTTCAAAGAGGTGTATAAAATCAGAGGGATGTTATCTTACATATTTCTTGTAGGCAGGGAACCTAAAATCTTATTTTCATATAGAAACGTACATATGACTGGACATGGTGGTGCATGTCTATAATCCCAGTGACTTGGGAGACTGAGGCAAGAGGATCTCAAGTTCAAGCACAGCCTGGGAAACTTAGCAAGACTATGTCTCCAAATAAAAAATAAAAGGGATTGGGGTTGTAAATTAATACAAAGCCCCTGGTTTCAATCCCCAGTACCATAAAAATTTTGCCTATTTGAAGAAATTTAGTAAAAGATGAAGATAAATATTTTTAAGGTGAAGCTTGAAATTTCAAAACAAATTGAATCACAGCTGTAGTGTTCCCACAGCTTCAAGAGCAAGCGTTTGCATCTTCCAGGGCTGGGTCCCTTAGAGACACCTTCCAGGCACAGTTAGAAAAGAACTGGAGGAAAAAAGACAGTGCAGTAAGCATACAGGCATATCTCCCACCGCACACAAGCCTGCTGCGGGTGGGGCCTTAGGGTAGCATCTCAGTTTCTAAAGCTCTTCATCGCAGCCCGCAAGGGCAAACATTACAGCAAAATTACACCTTATGCTACAGTCAGAGAACGAAATGAAAACAGCTTCACATCAAAAACACTCCGGGAAAAGCCAACTTCCCAGAGTCAGTATGGTACCATTTCTCAGCAGAATCAGTATTTCCTCCAGCACTGGGATTTTGCTTGAACACCATATCAAGTTTGTGTTTAGAATCAGTGTAGGCCCTGGAGCCTCAGCTCCTGAGAATCCAAGCAGACTGAGGCAACCTGCCAGCTCGAGCACAACCAAAGCGGTGATGACGTCAATCTTTCACTCCCCCTCTCCCTCACCTTCTCCTCCCCACTGCTCAGCACCAAGCTCATGGAGTCAAATTCAGTGATACCTGCGACTGCATGCGTAGGGGCCAAGGTAAGGAACCAGCCGAGGTACCCAGCAACAAATGAATGGCTAAGGAAAATGTTGTACCACAGTACAGCGTCCATAAAGCATCCATAAAGGAAAAGCAAAATTTTATCATTTGCAGGAAATGGGTGGGACGGGAAACCACCACACTGAGTGAAATAAGCCAGACTCAGAAAGTCAAATATTGCATATTTTCTCCATATGTGGATTCTTAAAACAAAACAAAATTTAAAAAATAGAGAAAAAAACAGCTGGCAGCAAAGTAGAAGGGAGATTACTCTGGGTGGGGAGAGGACCAGGGAGACGACAAAAGCAAGATAAAGGGCAGTAACAGAGGCGTAAAAGTAACCAAAATGTGTGATATGCAGGTATAAATACACCAGAATCAAACCCAGCTTTCTGTATAACTGATATGCATTAATAAGAAAGAGAAGATTGTGATATGGTTTTTCTAGATTGCTGTGAAGCTAGTTTGTGTACCCATGTGGTTAAGAGCACAGTCATAGCTCAGATTGTCTGGGTTTGGTCTTGGCTGTGCCACACTTGCTAGCCATATGCCTCCCAGCAAGTTTTCTACCTTCTCTAAGCCTCAGCTTCCCTGTCTGCAAAATGGGCCTGTTTTTTAGAGCACTCCCGTCCTAGGGTCACTCTGAGAATTGGCTGTGTTCCCATCTGTCAAGCACTTACAGCATTGCCTAGAACCTACAGATGTGTTTTTCCCACTTGTCAGCTAGAGACACACCCGTCCCCTTGGCTAGCTAAGCCGGACAGTCACTTTGCTGCCTGACACAGGGCAAGCCACAGTCCTGCAAACCCCTGATTTCCCAACTCCGTGCCCCGGGTTGCTTCCCATGCTTCCTCCCAGGGGAAGAAAGCATGGCTTTTCCTGTGGTGGGCCTGAATCTCTTTGCAGATCGGCATCCCCAGAGCACACCTGTGTTAAGTCAAAGATGGAGGATCCAATGATCATCTTCTTCACCAGTGGGACCACAGGTTTCCCCAAAATGGCAAAACACAACCATGGGCTTGCTTTTCGCTCCTACCTCCCTGCATGGTAAGAAGATGCTGGGTCCTGGATCTGGTGCAAAGCTGTGTACATGCATAGGGGAATGGAACGGCAGGTGGGGCAGAGCTCCAAACAGAAGTGCTTCCAGCTGGTTTCTCCCTTTGCTCGCTGGTTTCTGAGAAACTGAGTTTCTGAGAGGTGAAGCCTGGGAAGGGAATCTTGATAGAGGCAGAGGCCTCAGAGTAACAAAGGAGGCCCCTTTGGGTCCTACCTGGAAACCTTCACAGGAGATATGGAGGAAACATGGATAGACATAGCAGGTGCCTCCAAGCCACACAAAGAACAAGTCGTTATGTCCCAGACAGTGGCTCCACAGGGGCTCCATATTTAGTGGGGAAAGACAGAGTGTTCTGTGGGCAAATCTGACTTAGAGTTTCACAATCAAGAAGAGTTAGGGAGAAAAATAACTGGACAGGAGCTACACCAAGTCACTGCCAGAGCTTGGCCTAAGAACAAAGGGACTGAAGCTCTAGTCCTGGGTTAATCATTTAATCTATTTTAAACCTTTCCTCCCCCATTCCTCCTTTTCTCCAACTAGTAATATTCAGACCAGACCAAATCCTATCTATTTTCTAACTTATTCACTAGAACTAGGAGCAGAGACAGCTTCTCGTGGGCAGGGGCTGTTCGTGCTAATGAAAACACTGAGTAGAAAGACTCCTGAAGGCAAGAGAAGGAGGAGCTGGCAGTGCATTTGGAAGAATGTGCACAAAGGGACTAAGCCAGAGAAGTAGTATCCCTAGAACTACAGAGATCTGAGACTGAGGCTCAGAGTGCAGGGAGAAGGACCCACGGGAAAAGTCAGAAGACTGAATGGGGCCCAGATCATGTAGGGTCTTGATATAGAGTTTAGACCTTTGAGGAAACCAGTGGGAAGGTAGTGAAAGCTTTTTAGTGATGAAGAGTCATGATCAGTTTCCTCTTTTGCAAAAGTCACTGTGGCTGCAGAATGGAGAAAGGAATGGAGAAAGCATGGAAGTTGGGAAGACCAGGTAGACCTTTAGAATAGACCAGGTTCAGGACGGTGGTGACCAGGATCTGCTAGCCTAATGTGGGAAATAAAGGGTGGGGTCAGGACTGAACCTCCCCGGTTTGGAGCCTGGATAGTGATGATGCTCACTGATATGCAGGGAACACTAGAGGAGTCAGCTTTAAAGAGGCAAGAGATATTGGGGTCTCTGGATTGGGGGTGCCCAAGACACACCTCAGAAGAGTTTAGCGGTCATTTGGGTCTGAAAAACAAAACAGAGGGGGGCCTCACTAGTGATTTCTGGTAGGTGTGCCAGGGTCCCAAGACAGACAGGATGAGGGAGCTTGGGACTCATCAGCACCCCTTCCTGCCGACAGAACAGCTCCTCAAAGCCATGGCTGGCTAAGAAGAGCATTGTGCGTTTCTAAAGGACCTGGGCTTACAGAGGTCCCTCAGAAGCAAGAGGATAAGGGCAAAGAAGTAGGCACCTTTCCCGCCCTACTTTCCAGTTATTGCCCTTTGACTGTTTCCAGTCTCCTGCCAAGATGGGGCATTAATAAGGTCTCTCTCTTTCCCTCCCTCCTCCCCTCCCTCTCTCTCTTCTTCCCTCCCTCTCTCTCCTTCTCTCTCTCTCCTTCTCTCTCTCTCCTCTCTCTCTCTCCCCCCTCCCTCTTTCTCCCTCACCATCTCTCTCGCGCGTTCTATCTCTTTCTCTCATTCTACATCTCCTTCATTGCAAATGATAGAAAGCCCAGCCAAAGCCCTTTTAGACCAGACTAAATAAAAGAACTTATTTGCTCATGTAGCTTCAGACATAGCTGGGTAGACTCCAAATTACATTTTCATCTCTCCATCTCTCAGCTCCATTTCTGCTCTCTTGATACTGTTCTCAGAAAGCCTTGTTCCCTCTTGCCTAAAACTGTCACCCAGAATCCTCAGGACTATATCAGTAACTGATTTTGACCCAGCAGAAGGGCACCAGACATTGCCCCAGGATTCCCAATAAAGGCCTTACAGAGCAGCAGCACCGATCTCTTCGGGTTGCATGTGATCAGGACCTATGGTCTGGTGGTGGACCTTTGGGCCTGGCACTGGGGTGTTCCCTGTAGTTCAGCCCCACCTAAACTGCATGAGCTGAGAGACATGACGCCCTTGCTGAGAACCAGATTCCCAGCCCTTGCCCACATCCTCCCATGACCGCACAGCTGAGGCCACTGCCTTTTGGAGTTAGCAGGAATTTAATGCAGCTGAAGAAATCTGATGTCCTCTGGTGCATGTCAGACCCAGGCTGGATTCTGGCTGCAGTGGGAGCCCTGTTTGAACCATGGACAGCTGGATCTACACTCTTTATCCACCACATGTCGCCATTTGATCCCAAGATCATTATAAAGGTAAGAAGACCAACTTCCCAGTACCCAGAAACTCCCAGAAGAAATGTATGTTTCCAAGCCAAAAGCTCAGCCCTGCTGAGAAGTATTTTAGTAAGCAAAGAAGCCCGTGTGCATAAGATAACCTTGGCTCTGGGACCCTCACAGTGAGCAATATGAATCAGGGTCACTGTGCCAGAGTCACATCAGAATGAAACATGGGAGAAAATGCTTGTTTCTGGGCCTTAACTCTGACCTGGGGATCGAATTTTGTAGCTTTGAAGCCCAGAATATGCGCTTTGAGAAACTAAAGCAATCACAACAAGCCCAAGTCTCTAGAATTGTGGCTTTGCTCAGGCCAGGTAACTAGGGAACGTGTGTGTGCACACGTGCATGTGTAAGCACATGTGTGTATTTGTTACTCATTATAATAAAGCATGTAAAAGCCTGCTCTTGAAATATGACAGATTTAATATCTTATCCCACCTTTGAAATTTATTGGCAGGTCACTTATCAGAACCTCAATTTCCTTATCTGTAAAATGGGATTTTTAATAGCTACAAATCCATAAAATCATTAGGAATATTAATGAGATGATGATACAGGAAAAGTGTGGGAAGAGCTTAGCCTCAAGGCTAGCACATAGAAAACTTCCCATAAGGGATGACCACTGCTGTTCTTTTATTATGAGCCCATCATGGTAACAAGTGACATCACCTGCACCAACTCCTTCCGTTGCCTGTCTCTTCGATGAAAAATTCTCTTAGATTTTCCACGACAGCCTTTCTTCTACCTCAGGGTCAGACCTGCCCCTCCACTTTTCAAAGCCCACCCCTCCCCACAACTACTGAGCACCCGTTCTTTCCCCTGCCCTGTAATAGCAGCCTCTGCCTACACATCCTTATCTGTTAAACATTTTCTACTGTATTTTCAATGTACTGTATTGCTTTTCATTAACTGTGCTCCTTCTATCCACAAACAAGTCAGTGGCCCCCTCCTAAAAATACCTTTCCTTGATCTCACCACACATTGGATCAAGCCCAACTACCAGCACCTTCATAGAACATTCTCTGCTTGCTAAAGTCACCCCTGAGTCACCCAGCTTACTCCTAAACACTACAGTCCCCTCGACATCCCACCCTGGCTTTCTTCTCTCTTCTATCTCCTTTGCTTGCATTTCTTCAGCAAGAACATCAAGGCAGGTGGCTCTCAAAACTATGCCTGGGAATCATCTTTTCTCTCCATGTTCATTCTCCCAATGTGTCCCTGATAGTCAGCCATGGCTTTGTGATCACCCTTCCAGCACCTCTAACTACACTTCCTACATCCCACACCCCAACCTCACACCATATCACCTGCCTCACCAATATTCCCTACTGTACCACATGCTGCATGGAGACTTACAGCTGCACAAACCTCCCTGTTTCCACCAGGCCTAATTCTTCCTCTACTAGCGGGGATGTCCCCAAAGTCTTTGTATACTATAAGCTTGAATAATTTTTAAACTATTAATGTCTATAAATTTACGCTCCAGAATTTGGGAGTTTATTTTGCTTTATTTCCACATCCTACTTTTGGGTTTCTTATATCATCTTTTTATTTTTTTTTACTTGTTTTAGATTCTATATATGAAAGAAAATGTAATATTTGACTTTCTGGGTATAACATTTCACTTGGCATGATGATCTCAGTTCCATCCATTTGTCTGGAAATGACAAAATTTCAATGTCTTTATGGCTGGGTAATAGTTTATATATACCACACTTGCTTTATCCATTCATCTGTTGATGGGTAGTACCTACTATTTCCACAACTTAGCTATTGTGAATTGTGCCACAATAAACATGGGTATGCAGATGTCTCTATAGTACACTGATTTTAATTCTTTCAGGAATATACCAAGGAGTGGTACAGCTGGATCAGTTAATAGTTCTATTTTTTAGGTCTTTAGGGAAACTCCATAGTTGACATTCACACCAGTAGTGTGGGATTCCTTTTCCCTCCACAACCTCGCCATCATTCATTGTTTTTTTGTATTCTGGACTTGATAGCCATTCTGACTGGGAGGAGATGGAATCTCAAGGTGGTTTTGAGCTGCATTTTCCTAATGGCCAAGCAAGCTGAACAATTTTTCCATACTTGTTGGCCATTTGTACTTCTTTTGAGAAATGTTTGTTCAGTTCATTTTCCCACTTGTTGATTGAGTTAGTTGGGGTTTGGGTGTTAAATTTTTTATTTACATATTGTGGACATTAATCTTCTGTCAGAATAATCCCTAGCAAAGGATTTTCTCCCATTCTGTAGACTTCCTCTTCATTCTGCTCATTGTTTGCTCTGCTGGGCAGAAGCTTTTTAATCTAGTGTAATCTCATTTGTTGATTCTTGCTATTATTTCCTGTGCTATTAGAATCCCATTTGGGAAGTCCTTTCCTGTGCCTATGACTTCAGGTACTTGTAGTACTTTCAAAGTTTTAGGCCTTATACTGAGGACTTTGATCCATTTTTAATTGATTTTTGTACAAAGTGAGAGCCGGGATCTTGTTTCAACCTTCTACGTATGGATAGCCAGTTTTCCTAACACCTCCTGTTAAAGAGGCTATCTTTTCTTCAATATATGTTTTTGGTCCCAAGCTGTTGTTGTGTGTTTCTGTATTTTCTTTTCTATACTATTGACCTACATGTCTATTTTTGTGCCAGTGCCATGTTTTTGTTACTAGGGTTTTGCAGTGTATTTTTATATTGGGTGTTTTTGAAGTATTTATTGTTTTGGTTCCTATTTTTGAAGATGGGAGATACTAACAATAATATTTAACTGAAATTTACTCTTCAAATTCATGAAACAAAATACTCTTTCCACTTCCTCTCTACCCACCCACTCTACTTATTACCAAATCTGTTGCAAATCCTGTTTCCTGCTCCACAACCTGACTAAAAGCTTCAAAACACCAAGATGGGTCCTAAATTATAACTTGGATGATAATAACCAGAGCCCATGTTTGGTGAGCACCTCCTAAGCTCCAAACTAGGAGAAATGCACCAACACCAATGATCACCCACCCTTACCTACCAAGCAGTGTTCCCCTGGCTGTAAGCAACAAAACTCACTTCAAAGTAGGTTACTGAAAGGGGAATGCAGATGCTCCTTTACTTATGGTGAAATGACACTCTGAAAGCCCATTATTAATCGAAAATATCATAAGTTTAAAATGCATTTAGCAGCTGAGGATATAGCTCAGTGGCATAAGCCTTGCCTGCCTGGCAAGTGCAAGGTCCTGAGTTCAATCCCCAGTACTGAAGAACAAAGAAACAAATAAAATGCATTTAGTGCATTTAATGTTGAACACCCAGTCTTAGAACACAGCCCAGTGGAAAAGACCCAAATCTGGAAGTCCACTTAGTTTCTCCTAAATGTGTATTGCTTTCTTACTATCATATATCTGAAATATTGCAAGTCAAGATTGTGAGTCAAGGACCTTCTGTGTGTGAGTAGGGGACACGGAGACACCTCAAGATCTGAGCTTGGCACGGGTCAGGAGCAACATTCAGAAAAGACACCAGGGGTCGAGGCAGCTCAGAGTCTCCTCTGCTTCTCTCTGTGTTTATGCTCCCTTCTATTCCTAGACCTGCTTCCCACAGTCCTGAGTTAACATTGCTCCTTCCCAGACATCCAGGGCAGAGGGACACTGAATGACCCAGCCTAAAGCAGCTGTCTGTCAACAAGCCACTGCCCCACCCTCATACCCGGGAGCTAAGTAACAGACTCATTGATGCAGACAGGACAAGGACATGGAAAGGCGCCTTGTGGGGTGGGAACAGTGGCCAGGGCTGAGAGTCCAACTGAAATTTATAAAAAGAATATAAATGTGAGATAATGCAGAGATGGCAGCCAGAGATTCAAAGCTGATTGGGCCCAAGGAAGAGGGACTGAGAGTGGGGCCAGATCACCCTCAACATGCTCATCACACTACCCCTCATTGTGGTTCTGTGTGTGAATATTTTCATTTTACAAATAAGAAACCAAAGGACAGAGATTTAAACTCAGATCGGACAGACCCCGAACCCACCTTGTCTTCTCTTTGCAATTTCTCTTTCTCTTAGCCTATCTCCACCTTGTCCAAAACTCCGAAGCTTTCCACCTCTAATGAGTACCACACGCTTTAGACCCTACATAATCTTACCCTCAGCCTCCCTAACCAGAGCCCTCGCTCCTCTCCTCTGTGTCTAAGGAAGTGATATTTTCTGGCTGGCTGAAATGTTTCTCTAACTCCTGAACTTTACTTCCTTTTAGTCCCTCCCCATTTCTTGGGCTGTAGGCATCCCGTCCACTTGCTAATATCCCTACCAAGCGCTGCCTCCTCCATGAACCCCCAGACACACAATCCAAAGGACTTTATTTCCCTCTTTCGTGTTCTCATAGAGCCACCTTCAAATCTCTGTTATGACATCTGTCTTATCACTTGAGTCCTATCGTATTTCCTCTATTAGTGTCTACTCTGTAAGCTTTGGAACATTATCTCACTCTTCATGTTCTCCCTGACAGTACCCAACCGCGCCATAAGTGAAATTCATGCCCGATATAGTGAAAGAACAGATGGATAAACAGGCTCCCCTAGAGGGGACATCAGAACTAAACTCATAATTGGCTGATTTTTTTTTAAACTTTATCTATTATTTTAAAAATTCTTCCCATCTTCACTTTCCAGGTACTATTCAAATACCCCATCACCCACTGCCTAGCTGCACCAGCTGTATTTAGAATGGTTCTACAGCAGAAAGTTGCCAAGTATGTACAAGTGGCTGGTAACAACAATCTTTGCATAGGATTTTAAGGGATTTGAGCTGGTTCTTTGAGGAATGTGTGTGTGTGTGTGTGTGTGTGTGTGTGTGTGTGTGTGTGTGTGTGCTGGAGGTGGTAATGATAACTACCAATCACTCTAATTAGCTGAATTAAAAGTGTGACCCAAAGACCAAAGGGAAGCCCTGAGTCTTGCAGCATTGTGGGTTTATTTGAATGTTTTCATTGTGAAATAACACAGAGAAAAAGGCATAAGATGGAAATGTGTAGATTAACAAACTATTAAAAATAAAAATGCCCCTGTGCCAATTAACCAAGTCACAAAAATAGGTGATCAGCTTCCCAGAGACTTCCATATGCCTCCTCAACTCCCCTAATTTCCTAAAGGAAATTACTATCTCAGTTTTTACAGTGTTTGCTTCAGTTTTAGTCTACTTTCTTGTCGCTAAGGTACAATACCCAACAATCTCAAAGGGGGAGAAGTTGAATTTGAGCCCATGGTTTCAGGGAATTCAGTCCATGGCTGCCTGGCTCTAAGGCAGAAACATCATGGGACGAGGGGGTGGTGGAGTGAAGCTGCTTTGCACAAGGGGGCCAGGAACCAGGGCAAGGGAGCAACGCCAGAGAGGAAGGGGTGAGAGACCAGACACAGACCCCACGGCCAGGCTTCCGTGACCAACCCAAACACACCCATACATATTCTCTCCTAACCCCACAGGCATTTGCTAATCCAGTCAAGTTGATTTATCATGAGTAATGGTCACTGTTTTCTTACTTTCCTTTTTATAGCTCCTAAGGCAATACCTCTAAACGCATAATGTTACAAACTTTATTTATCTAATAATACACTATTCTATGACATTTGGCTTCTTTTTCAAATATTACTTTTCTAAGATGTGTCCGTGTTGTTGCATATTCCTAAAGTTAGTTTGTTTTCACTGCTGTGTAATATTCTAGTTTATGAAAACATCACAATTTTTCATTTTTTTTATTTTAAAAGTAAAAACAAAAACATATTAACAAACAGACAACCATTTACAAAGTAGCACAAGGATAGTACAAGCAATACTGAATTACAGACAAGGTGACAGGGAAATAACAATGGTTGTTGTATTACATATTGATAACTTGAAAGTGATTACTCAGGAAAACAAATATAGACATGCAAGATTGATCATAATAATTAATCATTAACTGTTCCTTTCAACAAAGTGATAGAAGTCAGTAGTACAACTATGTTAGCTATCCTGCATATACATACATACATAATTTTCCCCTTCTTTCTTTTCTCAAAAGGTACTGGTTTTTGGGGGGGGGTTGGGGTTTTTTTGGTGCCAGGAATTGAACTCATGACCTCAGCCTTGCCAGGAAAGCACTTATGCCACTGAGCTATATCCCCGGCAGACCACAATTTTTATCAGTCCAACCATTAATGAAGATTTGGGTGGTTTCCATGATAGAGTTTGATGATTAATGCTGCATTGAACTCTGGTACTTGCTCCCTGATGCATACAAGCATCCATTTCTGAAGAGTTTTTCTAGGAGAATTATTAAGCCCCACTAACTCTACACACTACCACACTACTTTCCAAAGGACACAATGTGTGCTTCTGCTATCGAAACAGGAGAATACTCACTATTCCTCATTCTTACTGGTGCACTCATTATTGTCAAAGTTAATTTTTGCAATCTGATGGATGTGTAACATCATCTTATGGCAGTTTTAGTTTTGCATTTCCCTGTGTTTGAGGGTTAGCTTAGCTATCTGAAATCTGCTCTTTGACCCTTACAGTCAGTTACGTATTTTTTAGAGACTTTGAAATTGAAATCATTGCTTCAAAAAATCAGAGCTAACGTGTCCTGTGATTGTGAAGGAATTTAACGACACCTTTACAAAATGGACTGAATTATAATTTGCTTTTATTTGTGAAGCCTGAGTCTGGCTGAATTCTATTTCCATCTGTATTTCGGGGCTCATTTTTCATGTTCAGACAGCTAATTCCTGCAGCATCCCTCAGATGATGGCCTTTGTCCAAAGCCAGTGAAAATTTCAGCAGTGCATATTTAGTGACTCCCCAGAGACTGCCCACTTTCTGTACAGGAGATAAAACTCCAGGAGGAGGAGAAGGAAGGCTACCTCCGTGGACCGACCTTCCTGTCTGTCTCCCTTGACTCTGTCCCAGGAAGGGTGAAGAGGGAGACAGAGGTACGCCTGCTAGATCAGATCTCAGCCGTTTCTCCCCCATTTTCTTTAGGGAATCCAATCATTATTTGGTGATTCTTTTTGGGTCCTTTAAGGAAACTTCATGAGGAAAATGGAGAAGAAAGTTTACACACGCAGTGTCACTAGTAAACTGCTACAAGCACTCACATCAGCTGCTACTGGTCTCTCTGAAACTGTTTCCTGTGACCCTTCGGCCTTTTCCTGCACTCAGCCCCGTCTGCCCTGATGTCCTGAGCAGATGGTGCCCAAACCTCAACTTCCATTCCCTGTTTAGAAATACAGAAGTCCTTCAGTTCACACAGCCCTGCCCTCACAGAAGGCTATACAAATCTGTTATTACCAGCGTGTGTCCCTTGGGGTCTTGTCCCTCCCCTCTTTATGGCTTAAATTCTCCTAGCCACACAGAGTGCTTCCCTGAGATGAGTCCTGATGAACGCACTTTCTCCCTTTTGTGACATCAAAACCAAATTTAACACAAACTTCCCTGATTTAACCCAATACCGTCACTACCAACACACCTCTCTGCCAGAAGGCAGAACTGGGACTGACAGGAAGGGAGCGGCACCTACTTGGCCTTGCCCATCAGGCAAGTGACCAGAGGGAACTAGGAAGGTGAGGAGCAGCAGGATGAGCGATCCACGCCGCCAAGCCATGAGCTCTGTGTGTGCTGAGCAGCCAAAGCCTGGTCCCTTTGTCTTCCCCAAAGCCTCAGGTTCCCCACCCTGAAGCACTGCTACACCGGCGGGGAGTCTCTGCTGACTGAGGAGTTTGAGCAGTGGAAAAAGCAGACAGGCATCCTGCTTCGCGAGATCTATGGGCAGACAGAGACGGTAGGTGGACAGGCCCCTTCCCGGCCTTTGGACACGCTTGGCCCCTGCGCTCAGCAGATGGGTGGAGTCATGCCATGACCCTGTGTGGCGGCCCCAGTTTGTGCACAGCCTTGCTCAAAGCCAAGGGAAGTCTCCAGGGTTCAAAGTTAATTTGCCACAGTTTGATCTGCAGGAAGGCAACTTACAGCTCATCAACTCGTCAAGAGAGCAACATGCTGAAACTACTGGACAAAACTTAAAAAGGGATCTAGGGACATTTTGCCACTGTGCCTGTGATCATTAGCTCAGGGGCATGCAGGAGGGGTGAGGATGTAGGAGGATCTCTCCAGCAACATGGAGACCACCAGCTCCACCTTCCCAGCCCAGGGCAACACCACGCAGAGGCAGGCTGCGGCTGGCTCCAGAAGCTCATATCTGGGTATCTAGGAGGATGACACACACAGGTTTGACTGCAGGATACTAACAGGGGGACAGAGACTTTCAGTATCCAACATACACACACACACACACACACACACACACACACACTCAATGAGATCCTAGGGTGTCACTGAGCCACCAAGTTAGCTGAGCATTTAGAGTACCATGAGGGTCTCTAACCTCAGGGACTTCATCAGTGACAGTGTAGGTTGGGGCCATTCTTCCAGCACATTCTCAATCCATTTCCAGTGCCGGACAGAGCCACTTCCCCACCTTCCCATTATCCCTCTAGCTAACGGAAGGTGACTGCCCTCCCAGGCCTTAAAGCAAATTGATTATTTTACCTCTAATTCATATATGTATCTGACTTTTTTAATCAGTTGGTTGAAATACTTCCAGGCCCAAGGAACACCAAGACTCTGAGTCTGTTGTTGAGTGACAGTTTATATTTGGAGCAAACGCTTCGCCCATGACCCAGTCCCTCCGCACCAGCTATTTGCAGCTGTAGATGGTGCTTTCTTTCCTGTAGCCCTTTCATACCTGTTCCCCAACCACACCCATTGTCCACACAGCTACCATGGAAGCAGTGCCCTGGCAGAGCAGAGAGAACTTCCTCTGCCTGGAGCTCAGCCCCAGACTCAAATCTCAGAATTCCAAACCATAGCTGAGTCCCAACTTTGCCTCCCGAAATGGAAACACCAACACCAGTCTTGCCAAATAAATGAAGTGTGTAAAGCTCCAGCCAGTGCCTGGCCCATAAACCATGCTCACACTGAAGTTACTATGGCCAATGACATTTTTAGGTAGGTATTTTGCCGAATCTGAGAGCACAGAAGTGAACTGGATCATCTCTACTCTTGTGATGCTTATTACCTACCAAGAGAAAAAGACAAGCAAAAATAATCTGAGTGTTCGGTGGACTACAGTAAAAGTACTGTATGGGGGAAAATCCTGCAGAAGGAGAATGTTCAAGGAATTTATGTGGAGAGCTGGGGAGCAGCTAGGCGCAGTCCTTCTTTGAACACTTGGTGTGAGCTCACACTGGGCAGTTTCCCATCCACTTGCAAGGACTGTGGAAGCCCCCTTCCACAGAGGAGGAGATCAAGGACACTAGGGGCCCAGTTAGCACACGGTGGTCTGTCTGACGTAAAGCATTCAGCTACTGACATAATGGTAAGGACAGAATGGTCAAAGAGGGGCCAAGTCCATCGGGAAGACAAATAGGGTGGGAAGCGCGAGCAGAGGGAAGTGGCACAGAGATCTGAATGGTCTCAACACAGCCACAGGAAGGACCTCAGGCAGGATCCCAGTCACGGCTCAACAGCCCCAAGTAAATGTGTATGAAGTGAACTCATGACCTTCCCCTGGCAAACTGGCATGTGCCTGGCATACAGTGGGCACTCCATGCCCCATGACATGTGCAGCCTCGGCCTTGCCCTGTGCTTCTTTCTTTGCCTCCCTCACTGGGCACTCGGTGCTGCTCCTAGCACAGACTCAACCCATACTGGGTGCAGCACACGTTCTCCAAACAGAGTGGGGTCAACGCTCTGATCCTGAACCCCAGCCCCTGGCTTCCCCAAATGGCAGCTGTTGGGACGTGGGGTGAGGAGGACCCTGCTGCTTTGCAATCAACCCGAATTCTCCAGCCACCCCTAATCCTCTGTCTGTCATAAACAGGGAATTACTTGCGGTGTCCTCCAGAAAATGAAGATCAAGCAGGGCTCCTTGGGGAAGGCCATCTCTCCCTTCGACGTCCAGGTCTGGTCCCAAAGGTTTAGCAGGGAGCGCTGAGGGCTCAGCTGGGGTCAGAGCTTCACATGACACCAGCTGGCAGGACCAGCCACATTTCCCTGTCCTGGTTGCCCTTCTTCCTCCCCTCCTATGTTTCCTCCAGTTTCTTATGGAGGCTTCAGTTGAGAGCCGCATTACGGTGAGCACCAGTACAGCTCGCCCTGGCAGCCAGAGGTCTCACACACAGTGCATGGGAAGAAAGAATACTTGGACATGGCACTGGCGGCTTTCTTTACAGCTGGTGCTTTTCATTTCTCTTGGTCAGAGCTTTGTAGCTTGAGGGTATATTGGCGATGTCTTCATACCCATGAGAAAAGTAGACCTCTGGCTTGGATTTCACATTTGCTGATTTCAAAGACTTTTAATAGTCTTGTTCCATTTTCTAGCACCTTCCGTTAGGGGTCCATTTTTCCTCCACGAGTGTCCCAGGAATGAGATAGGCGGTGCTTGGGCGTGGTCAAAGGGCTGGGGGAGTCCTTCAGGGTGAACTCAACAGGCTTCTTGCTCCAGATCATCGACAACAAGGGCAATGTCCTGCCACCCAACACGGAAGGGAACATTGGAATCAGGATCAAGCCCACCAGGCCTGTAGGCCTCTTCATGTACTATGAGGTAACAAACCCCATCTGCCCCATCCCAGCCCCAAGAATCCCAGCAGGAGCTCTGCATCCTGAAACTTCTTCAGTTTGTCCTGTGTCTGCCCTGACTCAATGAAGCCTATGTTGATTACACTCAAATTCATGGAACATGGCCACGTCCCTGCCTATCCTAACTCTGATGAGACTTAAGGGCTAACTGATGCATAGAGGACAGATTGGCTTTAGAACCAGACTTATGTATCCTGAGCTCACGAACAGAGACCTCAACTAGGTTCAGATAATACCACCCCTCTTTACCAGTAGCAGGATAAACAAATGTCTTTCCCTAACCGAGCGTCCAGGGAGCCCTATGAGCCTGAGTCTGTAGAAAGAAGTCACAGGTTGGAGTGCTACGTGTCTTCACCATGCCAGACAAGCAGTAGGCCTATGGTCTAAATCCATGCTTTAGGCCCCTCAAATCCTAAACGGGAAACCCAAGAGTTGCAGAAATCCAGAGTGGGCAACAAGAAACCTGCTGAAACTCTTCGTCAGATACAACCCAGCCACCCCAGGTAGGTAGAGGCCACAAAAGGGAAATTCTTGGCTTCCAAAATTGATTAGCCATGGAAGGGAGACCAGACCCTGAAGCAGATCCCAGACTCCATCATTGTGCTCCAAAGGCTCTTTCCCAGAAGTTTTCCTGGTGTCACACTGTCCACACACAATGGGCTCAAGGGAGTGTGGCCTGCACAGATTGTTAAATATTACATGACCGTAACGTGTAGGCAGCTTTGAGAAATATCCATACACACACATACACACACACACACTGGTGGTTCCCAAGCTAATATAACAACGTTATATAACATAGGTATAATATCACATAAGAGAGATCTAGATAGAGTCCACAAAAAGTGTACACATACACACACACACACTGGTGGTTCCCAAGCTAATATAACAACGTTATATAACATAGGTATAATATCACATAAGAGAGATCTAGATAGAGTCCACAAAAAGTGTACATTAGGAAGAGAAAAATTTGTATGACTATTTTAATACCAAATTTATTGAGGCAGCATGGGATTAGCATGTTACCTTTGGCCTCTATAATTACAAGAGGTGCTCAGAGTAATGGCCCTTAGCTCCCAGACATTTGTTAGTATGGCTAACTGCTGAAGCATGTACACATTTTTAGCAGACTATATACATTTTATGTATATGTATGTGTGTGTATATATATGTATACATACACACATACATACACACACAAGGAATCATATGTATAATATAAATATACTATATATATATATTATATATATATATATATATATTTAAGCTAAGGCCTGCCCACCGGTTGGGGAGAATGTTTACCACAGAAAAGTAGCACCCTCTTGAGGCCATGGAGCAAAGATCACCTGTTAGTCCTCCCCTGAGCTCCCTTTGTTCTTTGTTTTTTATTGAGGTGAAATATGATATAAAATTTACATTTTCCAACATTTCCAAATGTATAATTCAGTGTAATCAATACATCCATAACTTTTGCAACCATCACCATTCTCCACCTGCAGAAAATCTTTGCCATTCTGAAGAGAAACTCTGTATTTGTTCACTAAACGATAACTTCCTTCTCCTCTGAGCACCAGGCACCTCATTACCTCTAATCCACTTTTTTCTATATGAATTTGCCTATTTTAGATGCTTCATATAAATGGAATCATACAACAATGGTCCTGTTTGAGCTGGCTTATCTTTCTTTCTTGGAGTTGGAAACGTTTTCTATTCTTTCTTTGGGTAAACTCTCATTGCCTCGTTCTCTTGCTTCTCCTTCTGCATCTCCTGTAGCACACATTTGGTCAGCTCCACGATGTCCCACAAGCCTGTGAAGCGCTACTCACTTTCCTACATCTTTTCTGCTCCTCCACTTTCATTTGTTCAGTCATTCTGCTTTCAGTTCCCTCTTTCTTCTGCCTGCTCTAACAGGCTGCTAAACCCTCTAGTGGATTTTTTGCTTCAGTTATTGCACCTCCAGAATTTGTATTTGGTTCTCCTTTGTAATTTCTACCTTTATTGATATCCTCATTTAGCCCATATGTCACTTTCTTGATTTCCTTTAATTCTTTGTCCATTCTTCCTTCTTGACTCACTGAGTATATTTAACATATTTCTTTTTCTCATAAATGCAGTGTTGGGTCCTCAGACAGTTTTGTCAGTTAACATTTCACTTGTCATGTTTTCCTGTTTCTCTGTCCACCTTGATTATTGAAACTTCGGCCTCTTGACCCTGTGATGTGATGATTCTGAGTAACTCTGAAAATCACATTCTCCTTCTTTCTACTGCATATCCCACCTCCCTTCCAGCTTAAGTTAATCCGGCACATTGCATCAGTCCTGCAGGTATCCCTCAGAGCAATTAGGACATAATAATTTACAGGCACTTTACTTCCTACGCTGGGGCACAGGAGGACTTTAGGAGCTGGGCTGCCCATGCTCAGAACCCTGCCTGTCACACGTGACCAAGGATGGGGCCAGCGCTGCGGAGCTCTCCTGCCGTTCTGAAGGTGGATCTTTCGTAATTGGACATTTGCTTGGTTGTTGTAAATCTTTGTTCGCAGAGCAACTACAAAGTCAGTTCAGACTGCTTCTTTGTTTGTTTGCTTGCTTGGTTTTGATGTTTCTGTAGAGAAGCAAGAAGTTGGAACTTCACAAACACTATTTTCCTGACACTGTTTCCCAACAGCATGTTTAAAGAGTAGCCAAGGGTAAAAATGTCCTTGAAAGCCCGGTGGACTCTGCCACCTCTGTGTGGTATAGGAGATATTTCCCCCTCACTGTTCAGGAATTTCCCTGAACCTAGAGATCCCCTCCAATACATCCTGGTCCCAGGGAGGTCAGAATCCCACCCCCGGATGTGGGGGCCCTTCCTCCAGGGTCCAGCCTCGGGCCTTACATAAGAAGATTAACCTCGAGAAAGTTTGTTGCCCAGAGAGCAGACCTGGGCACAGGGCTGTGGGTGAGGCCAGCGTATCGAACACAGTGCGCTAAGCTGGACAGCAGTCTGGGGTGAAACTTCACATTCCTCTTTGATCGCTGTTTCCTAAACTTTCAGTGTTTGCGTCTATGTCCATGAGGTGTGACCAAAAATCATGGTGAATGTCTAAATTTTAAAATTTTATTATAGTAAAAGATACATTGCCATGAATCTTCCTCAAAGTACAACTCCTCCCTCCACATACACTTCTCCCATCGTTCTTCCCACTCTCTGGAGCAGCTCTGGAAGTGCTCTTTCCCCAGTGTCTTTAGCTGTGCTGTCATCGCCCCCTCAACATCCTGAACGGATTCAGAATGTTTCCCGTTCATGGCCATTTTGACTTTGGGGAAGAGCCAAAAGTTGCATGGTGCCAGATCCAGGGAATAAAATGTGTGAGGACACACACATTTTTACAGTCCTGCCTTTCACTGGACAGCACTCAGCAGCAGTATTCACCTTTTTTTTATCTCTCCATGTAAAGACACTCCTAAGCAACAACTTCCAGAATCGCTTCAGAAAGTGGTAAGAATCATGAAATAAGTGTGTTTTAGGTGGAGTGGGTATTTTGGGTGGGTTAATGGCCATGTATCTTTTACTATAATAAATACTTTAATTAAATATTTTGATTACACCTCACATTAACATCTATGTAATTACCAGTTTATACTTCTCTTTAAATTAACTCTGAAAATCTTTGTTTTTGAAAAGTCAATGTAGTATCATAAATTAAAAACACACTTGCCAAAGTATCAGTATCACTTGCCAAAATCAGACAGCATTATAATCATAATTAGAATTTTAAAAAATGAATGTTCAGGGCTGGGGATTTAATTCAGTGGCACAGCGCCTGCCTGGCAAGCGCAACAGCGTGAGTTCGATTCCTGGTACCGGAAAAAAAAAAAAAAAAAAAAAAACCAAAAAAAAAAAAAAAATGAATGTTCAGTTTCAGCTATGCTCTGTTCCTGCTGAAAGCTCTGACCCCAAAGTTAACTCCTCCTCTTGGTGCTTTGCAAAGCTTCTAAACACATGTGAACACCAAGTCAATAATCTCCTTGGAGTAATCAATCACTGAAATTAATTCAAAACAGGACGTGATCCATTGTTTTTACTGTGTTTTTCAGGCACCTTTTAAAATCACTTCTTGTCATACAAGAGGGCTTGCTTAGGCATCAAATGAATAGACTATGAAGCAAGAATTAAATTCAGATACAAACACCAGTTTAGTGATCCTCTGAACATCAGTTTCTTCTGTAAAATAGGCAAAAAAAAAAAAAAATGCCAGGCTCACGTGAATTCATTTTCATATGAACACACAAGTGACCACAGAATCTTGATCCACAGCCAGAAACTGGAAATCACCCAGATATCCTTCATCAGCTGAAATGAATAAACAAAAACTGAAGTACAGTCATAACACAGAATTCTGCTTAGCAGGAGAAAGGATCAAACTGTTTATGGACACAGCAGCTTGAGTGAATCTCCACAGAGTTACACTGAAGAGAGAAAAAGCAGCCCATCCTACAAGGTTCCATACTGTACAGTTCTACCTGTATAACATCCTTGAAGAAATATGAAAAAAAAATGGACAACACTATGTAACTGAAATAATCCAGACAGAAAAATGCCACGTTTATCTTTTACCATACGTAGAACCCAAAAAAGTTGATCTTGCAGAGCTAGAGAGTAGCCTGTGTGTGGCGGTGCAGGGCATCGTACCCAGCAGCCTCCAAGCTAGCACAGATTGGGAGGCTGAGGCATAAAGATCGCACTGAAGCTCATTTAGTGATTTGGCAAGATCCTGTCTCAAATTTAAAAAATAAAAAAAAGAAGGCTGGGGATATAGCTCAGTGTGAAAGCCTTGGGTTCAATCTGGAGTACTACAGAAAAAAAGTACGAAGATTTGTCTGTATTATTTTTTAAACTATATGCAAACCTATAATTATCTAAAAATGAAAAGTTTATTTTAGAAAACAACCAGCCTCACAGCTTTCTGTGAGGATCAAACAGAGTAGCATTAGGGGAAGGAAATTCATTCAGCTCAGGTGTACTGGCCCCTCTCGTCTGTCCAGGGCCGTGCTGAGCTTACAGCAGGGAAAAAATAAACAGGGCTCATACTAGCGTAGAAATGTTATTCCAGCAGAGCGCCACAGACATGAGCGGTTCATTACAAAAACTGTCATCCTAACGGGCTCAGGAACATGCACTAACTGAGTGGCAGCATACACTGCCTTCCTCCACGTAATGAAATTAGACTCCAAGGAGTTACAAAACTTAGCCAGGTACCAGGTAGAGTCAGAGGCTGAACACAAAGCTAGGGTTGAACCCAGGTTTGGAGCTCATTGTCTCTAAACTGTCTGCCTTCCACAACGGGGGTCTGTTCTCTTTGCAGAATGACCCGGAGAAGACAGTGGAGGTGCACTGCGGGGACTTCTACAACACGGGGGACAAAGCCACTATTGATGAGGAGGGCTACATCTGGTTCCTGGGGAGGAGTGATGATGTCATCAACGCCTCTGGGTAGGTGTGGCTGACCCTGAGCTGGCCCGTGGCACCTCCCAAGGCCCTTGGGATCTTGTCTTGGTGCTGGGACCCTCAGCCTGACGACCACAGACCCTGGTCCCTGATACCTGTGCGCCTGCCCCACACCTGCACCCAGAGACAACCAAAATGACATTCAGGAAGGGGAGTGAGACACCTCCTTCCTGAATGTTTAAAGGAAAGGGGGCAGGACAGGATGTGCGACTGTGCCTTGGTCCCCTGGGCTTGCTTTTTGTGATGTTTGTGCCGGTCTCCTATGGCACAGAAGGTCCCAGGAGAAGCATAATAACAGCAACAGTAATAGCTACCCTTTATGGAATGCTCACTATGTGGAAACGCTCTGCTTAGCTCGGCACACAGCAGCCTCTTCCAGCCAGCAGAGATGCAACCATCATCCCTGTCTCACAATGAGGAAACTGGTCACTAGCCGGTGAGGACGTTCGCCTGAAGTCTCAATGACAGTGCAGGCAGGAGTCTAGACTGGAACCCAGGAGGCCTGGCGTTGACCCTGGGCCCCTATAGGGTTTTTTTAGAAGACATATTACACCAGTTCTCTTGGATATTTCAGAGAAATTGAGGTTTTCTTAATTCATTCTTAATTGGTATGTAATAATTACACATATTTATAGGATACACTGTGGTGATTTGGAACATCTATACTACGTTATGTAATGATCAAAGTCGGGTACCGTGCACACTCCTTGCCTCATGGATCATTTCCTTGTGCTGAGAACACTCGAAAACCTCTCTCCCAGCTATTTTGGAATATGTAACAGATTATTGTGATCTGCAATCACCCTGCTGTGAAATAGAACATCAGAATTTATTCCTCCTAGCTACTTGTAAATTTCTATAACTCTACCTCTCTCCCTGTTTCTCTCCCTCTCTCTCCCTCTCCCTCTCTCTCTCTCTCCCTCTCACTCTCTCTCTGTGTCTCTCTGATCATATATATGGTAAATATTTAAATTTTGTAATATAGTGCAGTAAAACACACATTGTCGTTAATCCCCTCACTTCAAACACAATCCCATTGTTCTTGGCATGTTCTGAAGCACTTCTGGAAGCCCTTTATCCTAAGTGTCTTTAAAAGACGTGATCAAAAATACGATGAATGCTGCTGCCAGGTACCGTCCCACCGAAAGACAGGCTTATAAAAACATATGGCCTGTCCTCACCCATTTTATTCACCAGATCTGGCACCGTGTAACTTCTGGCTCTTGACCATGAAAGCTCAAGAGTATCAATAGAGGCCGGGCTGTAATCCCAGCACTTGGGAGGCTGAGGCAGGAGGATCGTTGTGAGTTCGAGACCTGCCTGGGCTACAAAGGGTACTCAAAGCCAACTTGAACTGCATAGGGAGACCCTGCCTCAAAAAGACAAGAAGAAAAAAAAAAAAAAACAGAGAGAATGAATAGATTCAGGACATAGAGGCAGCCATGAGAGTGCAACCGAAGACACGAAAGAGGACATCCAGAATTGCTTCAGAAGGCAGCAAGCACAATGGGACAAGTGTGTTCAAAGTCCAGGAGGGGGATTCATGGCAATGTGTTTTAACTGTAATTTTTTTTTAATTAAACACTCGCTGAGGATATAGCGCGATGGCACAGCACCTGCCTGGCAAGCATGAGGTTGTGAGTTCCATTCCCGGTACCAAAAAAACCTAAACATTCACCATATTTGTCTGTCACACCCCATATTACTGAAAATTCGCTAAGGGATTCTAAGTGCTCCTCCCATTGACAGGTGCTCTGTATCCCCACCTCTCGGCGCTGTCTGCGTGGGGTGAGGGTTACGTTCATTGGTTTCACTGTGGTAACCACTTCACTGTGTGTTTGTTGAACATCACATCTCACACTTCAAATACACGCACTAAGAGACAAAGTAAAACAAAGCATATGGGCATTCTGGGGAACAAGATGCAGTGGGAGTGTTTCAGGTGAAGGCTGAGGGCTCTCCGGAGCTCTAGCTCTGGTGCAGGAGGCTGACTGGGTCAAGCACCCAAGCTCCGGAGAACACAGACCTGTCCCTCCTTCGGCAGGGACATTCCATGGAGAAGTCCAGGAACAACCAAGCTGGGGACTGGGCCCACTGACAGTCCAAACCTTCACTTTGGGGGCCCAAAGCACAAGCAAGTCACAGGTCACTGGCTGTTCAGGACCTCTGCCCTCTGGGCCAAGGGGGGCTGTGGCCCTCCAAAGTGCAGATCTGGAGCTCTGCCGCCAGCCCTGGCACCTGGCCCAGAGCAGTGGGTTGATCCTGCAGGTACCGCATCGGACCCGTGGAGGTGGAGAACGCCTTGGCAGAGCACCCGGCGGTGGCCGAGTCGGCCGTGGTGAGCAGCCCGGACCCGACACGAGGGGAGGTGAGGACAAAAACCTTGTCGAGTCTGGCTGTGAGCGGGAGAGGGAAAGTCCGCGCGGGACACTCCCAGCGTCTGACAGCCTTGGACCCACGATGGAGGGCGGGTGTGCATTTACACAACGGGACCACCAGGTGGCACCATGGCGCCACTTGTGTCCTGCAAATGAACAGGGACAATGAGGATGAAAGCTCATACGTAGTGAGGGCTTAGCACTCACGTCTCACAAAACTCAATAATCCAAGGGCTGTTATTATACTCTGTAGATAAGGAAAGAGAGGGGTTCAGAGCCACAGCTAAGAGGTGGACTTAGAAGAGAATTGTACTCAATGTGGCCCCAGAGCACACCTTCGCTGATACAAGGGCTAACTGAGCACCTTCTGTGTACAAAGACTGGTGTGATTGAGGCTATAAAATAAAGGAAAAATAAATTATGAGCAACTGTTTAAGCCCACTGGGTGCCTGACGCAGAACTGTACATACAATAAATGTGACCGGCTTGATAGAAAAATGGTAGCGGGTATGAAGGCAATTTAAACAGCCCGGATGTTGTTACACACCGTCTCACAGAATCTACAGAAATCCTTTGAGGAATGAACCCCGTTTCACGAAGAAGGAAAGTGAGGTTAGGTTCTCAGACATGGTGATGCACACCTGGATTCTCAGCACTCCGGGAGGCTGAGGCAGACGGTTCACACATTCGAGACCAGCCCAGCCAAGTTAGTGACTGAACAGGACCTGTCTCAAATGAAAACGGGCTGGGGATGTAGCTCCAGGTGAAGGTTCTGGTCTCGATCCCAGGTACTAGGAAAGGGAGGCAGGGGAACCGAGTCATTTTCCAAGGTATGGCACCGACTAAGGAGGGCGGGATGTAAACCTTGGCCTCCGCTTTCCCAGAGTTTCCATACGGCAGAGTTCATGCTTCCATTCCGCAGGTGGTAAAAGCATTTATTGTTCTGAACCCACCGTTCCTGTCCCATGACCAAGATCAGCTCGTCAAGGAGCTACAGCAGCACGTGAAGTCAGTGACGGCACCATACAAGTACCCGCGGAAGGTGAGTGTGGGCAGGTGGCGAGGGCTGCCTCCCCTGAGCGCTGCCCAGTGCTCGGTTGTACCTACCTTGCCTGGTGGCTGTGGAGGGGCACAGTTAGCCAGCCAACCATTTTTTTCCTCTTCAAAAGAAGCTGTCTGCCAAGTTCTAGCACACACCTGTAATCTCAGCACTCAGAGGCTGAGGCAGGAGGATCCAAGGTTTGAGGCCAGCCTGGGCCACTTAGTGACTTAGTGAGAGTGGCTCAAAATAAAAGGGGGAGGCTGCAGTTGTCGCTCAGTGTGGAGGTCCTAATTTCAATACCCAGTGAGGAAAAACACACACACACACAGAGAATTATCCCATTGGTTTAAAATAAAGAGGTACATGTGTCAAAAAGTCAATATTTTCTCTTGTAGTCTAAACATTCACAATCAATATGGACTTATTATGAGACGGCCTGGCTAGCATTTACTGAGCACTTACTATGTGCACCAGGCCCTGGATTCAGTTCTCTGTGTGCACTGTTACTTCCTTTAGTACTATAACTTGCAGTAGTGTAGCTGTCCAATTTCAGAGACAAACCGAGGCTCAGACGCCAAGTCAGCTGCCTGAATTTGCCTGAGTCAGAGGCAGAGCTGGAACTCAAGGGCATGTGTGTCTGACAACGAAGACTGTGTTCTGACATGAGGCGCAGCAGCCTTCTCAGAGTTGAACAGACGATGCTAGGGTGGGTGAGATATTACTGCAGGGAACACATCAAACAGTGAGGGTCTGTCATGATAAAGGGCTCTTCCTTGCTCGTGCTGTAGGTCCCCATGGCTCTTTGGGGGCCTTTGTCCCACATCCCCTCATCCTGGGACCAGGATGTGAGAACAGCCACTACAGGGCCACCCGCCAGGTGCTATAACAGCTGAAGGAGAGGGCCACCAGCCTCAGTGGTGCTAAGTGCTCCCGCCTAGAGGCTGTGTGCTTCACGGCCACTCACATTCCATTGGTCGAAGCAAGTCACATGGCTACATGTGACCCCAGGGGTCAGGAGGGGGACCCTAGGAAGGTCCCCAAGTGGAGCCAGCCTGAATGAGAGGTGCTGGGCATCAGTAGGAACTCCAACAGGGCTAAGTCAGGATGAACGCTCTCTCCTCCACCAGGTGGAATTTGTCCCAGAGCTGCCCAAAACCGTCACCGGCAAGATTAAACGAAGCGAACTTCGGAAAAAGGAGTGGTCAGATGTAAGCAGCAGTCAAGCCAGGACCGCCCGCCCCTGACCGTGGGAAAATCCCTGGCGCCCTCAGTTTCCCCAGTACACAGCGGGATGAAGAGACTGACGAGGAGGGGGCCTCAGAAGAGCTGTGGTCCCAGCACATTCACCCTGGGAAGTTCAGTCCCCCTGCTGTGAGGCCCTGTTCTTTCGGAGGGCCGGAGTGAGCTCTTAGACTGGGGTTGCAGGTAATAAAGTCCCGATGGCCTCAGCCGCCGTGGCCTGGTGCTGTGCATCTGTGTGAACTATGCCAAATAGACTATGCCAAATGCCTTCCCTCCGTAACCGTCCCCAGTCCCCAGCCCAGAGACCCAGGACCAGATTCCCCTCCGGGCGCCAGCATCCGAGGCAGTCCAAGCATCCTTTCCGTATCCGGGACACAGAGGGCTGGGGAAGGTGCTGTGTGTGGCCCCCGGTTCCTGCCCCTGGAGCCATGGCGGTGAACTTATGGCATGCATGTTATCATTTTTCTTTTAAGATAAAAGATATTAATGCATGAGGTTTTTTTTAACTAAAACCTCAGTATTCAGGTTTAACTGCAGTGTTGATACTTTGAGATAGATAAGTGGGTTTGGGCTGCAGTTGGGGCACTCGGTCTCTAAAACATTTGCCTTCTCGCCCACTACTGGAGAAGTCCCACCAATATCTGCCGGATTCTGTGGTGCAGAGATACCGTCAGGGCACACAGACACCTCAAGCACAGGACAGCCAGGCGTAGACAGGATCGGCCCCAGCTTCCCCCAGCACTCAGGTGCCCAGTGCCTCGACGGGCATGGGCAAGCCCGCACCACCCGGAAACACCTGAGCCAGCCCCACGCAAATCCACACAGACACACGCACGCACACCTAGAGACACAGAAAGGAGAGTGAATGCACACACATGCACAATCAGAACACTAGAGAGCACACAAAGTCATACACATACAACCCACACACACCAAGATACAAAACACAGACACTCCCTCAGAGACACGCACATTCTCATTACACTGACACACACAAATCTGCACAACCTTCACACTTATTCAGGGACATCTATGCCCAGGTATTTGCAAAGGCACATGGAGGTACCCCAAGTAGCTGCACCTCAAAAACACCACACCTCCAACACTACGCCCACAGATGCAAAAACTCTAGCACACGGCGCACACAGGCAGGTGTGTGAACCAGACTCCTCCCCTCCTCACTCTCATCAAAGGGCAGGGTTTATTTCCTGGTTCCTAGCCAGTGCTGGGCGTCTGCCACTTGCCGGTCTTCTGAGGGGCTGTTCCCAGGCAGAGGACTGAGACGGGCCAGGGTTGGGGGGCCCTCGTGATGGCAAAGGATGGGGGACGCACAGAGTGGAGGTGTGGCCTCGGGCTGAGCTGATATAGAGACCAGGACAAGAAGGAGCTCGTGACCCGGGGACCCTGCCCAGGGCCAGAGCATGGGGTACCCTCTGCGGCACCATGATGATGTGGTCAGGAACATTTGATGCTGCTGTCATCACCATCGCCACGAGCGGTGACTCGGGTGCCAGGTGGAGGAACAGACTGGGAGTTTGGCCGCCTGGGTCAGCCTCAGTCTCTGTGCAGAAAGCACCCACATAGAGCCCGGCTGGGGCCCAGGGCCTCCCCAAGCCCGTTCCTCCTGCAGGTTCCGTGGCACACCCAAGGCCCTCTGACACTTTCCCTGCTGGGGTACAGCCCCTTCCCAGCCACCCTGAACCCGCTTCCCCATCTATGCAAGGAAGGTGGGTTGGTGCATTGTGAACCCAGGTGGTGACACCCGCAGAGTGAAGCGCTTGGCATAGGCAGGGACAGAGGGGCCGGTGTTATCATTGTTACTGCCTGGAGTGTCTGTCATTCCAAGACATCCATCGGGGGAGAAAGACATCCCCTAGAGGTGATGACGTCCACAAACAACCAAAACGTTGCTTCCTGGGGTCCTCATGTCAGGCTCTGACATAGCAGTGGACACTGTCAGGTGAGCAAGAAAACCACCTCGGTAACACCCAGCAGGCAGCACTGCTGGTCTCTAAGCCAAGGCGCCTAGGCCTGCCACGGGCTCGGGGTGGGGCCTCCAGGGGGCCACCAAGGGCTCCCTCGGCAAGAGGGCGACACTGCCTTCAAAGAGCTTCCACGTTGCAGGGAGATCCCCCTACTTGAGGCCTCAAACTGTTCACTTTCCTTCCCTTCTGGCCGCGTGCCAGACTGCAGCCCACCAAAGTGGTCGTTCTGAGACCAATGGTCTCCCGGTGAGGGCAGCTGGGAGTGCGGACACACATGACTTTCCCCCCCGGCTCCCTGCTGCTGGCGCTCTAGCTGCTTTCCTCAGTGTCCTGTAAACCAGTGACCTCGCGTGGACGCGGGGGCCTGAGCAGGGCTTCCCAGGGCAAGCCGTCTCCTGCTCCGTAGTGAGCCTGCCCAGCTCAGCGACCCCAAAGCTGCTGTCTGTCACCTGCTTCGCATTTCAGAGGGAGACATTTTTATGACTCTCAGGGGAATTCACGGAACAGTCCCAGAGCTTGCAAGCCAGGGACGGACGCAGTCCAACCTGTCCTTGCCAAGTCAGTGAGACATGAGGGCCAGAGAACATTCTCCAGCCCAGATGTGTGAGCCGAGCTTTCTTGAGCAGGAGGGAAATGGTGAGACACGGACGGGGGGACACACTAGGCAGCAGGGCGCCCCAAGGCAAAGGCCAGAAGGTGCCAGAGAGGCTGCAGGACTGGGGCTGCTGGGTTGCTGAGACGGGTCAGGGCCTGCAGAGCGGCCCGGGCCGCCACCTTGTGGGCGGTCGTGACATAACGCTCCAAGCAGGAAAGAAAATGTTCACTTCCGGTTTCAGTCACCTGGCAGGGAACATTCTCTCACAGTGAAGACCGGTGCTGGAAAGAGACAAAACTTGGAGAACGCTATTGCTGTAAAAAACACAAAACAAGAAAAAACAAACAAAATGGGTTTCCCAGTGACGCTGCATGTGATGGAGAACACACGAGCTTCCAGCTCTGGAGGAGGCCAAGATGGAGTTTGAGAAAGAGAGCAGCCTGGGCAACCAAGTGGCTTAGAGCCTGAGGCGAAGTTAAAAGGGCTGGCATGCAGCTGTGTCTTAGAGGGCTCCTGGGCCGTTAACATCGCTACTGCCACTGCGGGGACAGTTTCCTGAGTCAAAGGTCCCTGAGCGAGGGCTTCCTCAAGCCCCCAGAAGAGCCTGGAGAGGGGCTCAGATTGGAGTCTGGTTCCTAGGTGGAGCTTGGTTAAGTTCCAGAGAAGCTTTGGGCGGTTCACACATCCTGCGTGTGACTGAGCCTCTCAATTATAAAAAGCATTATTGGGGAATAAAGCAAATAATAGACCTCATGTAAAGAGTTTTGCTCCGAAAAGAAAGGTGGATTGTTGGAAACAGCGAGATAGATCTTTTGCAAATGCAAAGTGACCCAATGGATGGAGGGAAAGGAGGGAAATGATGAGGGGGACACGCCCTGCCGTGTGTGTCCTGTGAGCCCAGCCGCAGGCTCTCAGGACCTCACCAGGCCTGCCACCGCCCTGCTTCTCCGGCCTGCATTGCTGGGGAGGGCCGTTCTAGTGCATCTACAGGAGCTCGGCGAGCTATCAATGGCAACTCCTCCTGTTCTTCTGTTCCCCACCCTCTTGTTATTCTCACTAGATTCACTCTCCTACTTTTGCACCCTAAGGTTTGCCACTGTGCTATATTATGGCGATGACCAGATCAGTGGTACCCTTATGGTGTGTGTGACCCTCAGGACAGCAGAAGCCCAGGAGGTCAGGGTATGACTCATCCCTCAGAGCCAGGCACTTGGCTGATGTTCAGTACCCATCTGCTACCCTGATATATTTGTCTTGTGTCAATAACATCTTCCTGCTCTACAAGATGCACCTGCTCCCTCGCTCAAGATGGGAAGATGGTATGGCCTGTTATGTGGCCTCAGAAACTTGTGAGAAGCCACCTTGTCCTCAGCCAGTTTTACCCCACCAGGCGTGGCAAAGCCCTGTGTCACCATCAGTGACAATTACTTATGCTGACTTAAGAAGAAAGGGGACTGTCCTAGACAAGCCAGGTCACACTGTTCAAATCCTCATACCTAATGCTGGAAGTAGAGGATGTGGGTGAGATCACAGGGGCCAACAGGGTAGAGGTGGCCCCTGTCCCGAGATTGGCTACAAAGTGTCTCAGTAGGAGTAGAGCATGGAGGGCCATCCCTGGACAGGGTAGGGTCCTCCTGCTGCCTTACTGACTACTCACTCAAGGTCAGGGGCTCAGCAGAGGACCAGGTCCTATACCCCCACACCAAAGAGGTCTCCCTGCAAATGTGACCAATAAAGATGTGAGCAGTGCGGGGACAGAGGGAGTCACAGGGATGTGAGCAACAAGACTAAGGGCCTCATGGTCCCTTAGCACTCCTGAGAAGAGAGCCTGGGCCTCAGATCTAGAACACATGGGTCACTTGGAAAACGTACCCAGGGATCAGAGGGAGAGTTGAGAGAATAAAGCTCGACTCTGGGTCATGGAGATGTCCATTCTGAGGGAAATTGAGCCTTCATCCCCACAGGTTCTTCCAGGGACTCAACTAGATCATCTGCCCAAGTGAGAGAGACACATGGGAGAAGTATGCATCCCCAGGCTCCTGTCTCCCCTTGGGTGTGGACGGCCAATGAGTAGGAAGGGCCTGAAGTGAGAGATTCGTGAATTTGCTTGAATCAGTGGATTGTTTGCAAGACCCTGGCTGGATCAGGGCCAAGGCCCTGGGGTGAGAATTGTCCTCAGAACCCAGCCAGAGTGACTCCCTCTTGCCATGTACCACCCTCCTGTGTGCCCAGGGCTGAGGCTGTGCCAACAAGGCCACTCGTCACTGAGGCTGGACAGTGCTAACAGAGACCAGCAGAGCCTCCTGACAAGGACGAGGTGGAGCGGAGCGCACACGTCTTTCCCCACAGCCTCTTCCTGCTTTGGGTCCTGCTCCTGCTGTTTTACTCAGTGCCGTATAAAGCAGTAACCCCGCACAGGCTGTTGGCAACTTGCATGGTGCTTCCGAGGGCAAGCTGTCTACTGCTCCCCAGTGAGCCCGACCCAACTCAGGGACCCCCAAGCTGCACTCGTCCCCGCGTCCCCGCCATTCTTTGTCTCTCGCACCCCCTCACAGTTCAGAGGGAGATATTTTTATATCTCCCAAGGAAATTCATGAAACAGTCCCAGAGGATGTGAGCCAGGGATGGAC